AAACCCAAATTCCATGGACTTCAGACTCAAGGCTGATCTAGCTAAGCCCTCAACCACAAGCCCTGAAGCATTCACGCCCTACATCCCTAAAGCCAACAGCCCGATACCCTGAACCGTAAAGCCCTCAAGCCTGCGCAAACCCTAAGTCCTAAAGCCCCAAAGGCCTGAAGCCCTTGACGCTAAAATGCCTCCACAGGTGGCGCCCTCTTCTCGTACTCGGTACTCAGCCCTGCTGCCCTTGGCTTTTTCTTGGGCTACTCCCAGGCAGGGCTTGGTCCAATTCACGCGAGGTTGCGAGGTTGGGGTCTAGGTTTAAGATTAACGCTTAAGGGTTTAGGTTTAGGTGTAAGGCTGAGTGTTTAGGGTTTAGGTATTTGGAGTTTAGGTGTCTGGGGTTTAAGGGCTTAGGGCTTAGGGTTAAGGTATAGGTGCAGTTTGCTACATGCTCTGCTCAACCGTTTTTTTTGGGGGCTCGCCTGCTATGCCTTCTCGCGAGTCTGTTTGGCGTGCAGGCACATTCCATCCTGGCAGGATGCGGTCTTTTCAAGCAGTAGACGGAGGTTAGAGTCACTTACAACCTCAGAACCTAGGTTATAGTTGGGCTGCAAGTATACTTCTGCTGCAAGTAGCATTCTGCCTACGAGAATTAGTGGTCCCGACCTTCACAGCAGCATGTTTTGACAGCGTCGTCACCACGTTCGACAGCACTTGCCATCTGCACCAGCACCAGCAAAATCATCATGAATGGCCGAGCTGCCACCTTCAGCATGGTTGGTAGGATTTGTAACATATCTGTGCAAGGCCAGTGCGTCTGATCGATGTTGGCATGAAAGTCGGCAACAGCACTTGCAAAACCTGAATGTGCATTTGCGCCACTACGCAAACGCCAGGACGTCATCGAAAGCCAGTTTTCCATAGACCAGTACTTTGAGTTCATTCTCAGCGTCTCGGCAGCGCTTCTGTTCTTGCGGGCCTTGGTCTTGACATTTTTGGCTCGATTGCTTACCAGCTGAGATCCGGGATTCGGATTGTTCTGACCTCGGTGAGGCTTATGCTGGACAAGCAAAAAACCAGTTTTTCAGGAAAGGGCATCATGGTTCGCTAAAAACTGACGAGGAGCCTTTATCATCAAAATAAGCTTCCTTGGAGCTCCGTGTTCTAAGTATAATATACAATCTAATCTTGAAGGCCCCCGATATTCGGCCATAGGCTACAGTCTTTCCATCTCCAATGAATGCTGGAAAAAGCAACAATTCCGGCAAAGAAGGTCTCATGTATTACCTGGCGAGAAGCCCGTGTAATTGAACCGTCCAGAAAAAAGACAGAAGTGAGACCTGCGAATCCGAAGCTACAGAGTAGGCCTCAGAAGCTCCATTGGGGTTTTGGGGCTTTAGGAGTGTGGGGTTTTATTGGTTTCAGGAGCCAAGCAACCAGGACCTGCACCAGAATCTGCCAGGACCTGTCAAATCCAGAGTTCCCGAACGAATCCGACAGCGCGAGTCTGTGTTCAGGGTTCAGGATAACAAATCTGCCAGTGTCAAAAGTTAGAAAACACAAGCCCGCCAACCTGTAGACCGTAAACCTCGATTTTCGTCCGCTCAAGCCCGAAGCGCTTACACCAGAAAAACCTCACAGCAGCTTCCTAGTATATAACCATTGTAGTAGCCGTGTGGACCTTGTAGTAACCCTATAGTAATCTTCCGTAGTAAGCTTCTAGCCGTGTAGTAACCTTGTAGTAACCTGCAATCCTCTGTAGCAACCTCCTCGTAAAACCTACAGTAACCTAAACCCTAAAGCCCTCAACCCAACCCTGTAAACGCTAAACCCTGGACCCTTTTTGGAACGCGAAAGCCCTGAGGTATGGGTTTCGCCACCGGCATCTCCTTTCAGGTTCCTGTCCTCCAGGCCGGAGAGGGTTCAACATAGAACCAGAAATAATTACCGAAACTATTTTGGGGGGCTACTTACTAATATACCCCAAAACCCTAGTCTAATGACTAAGGCCCCTATATTCCGCTTGGGGGCTGAGGGGTTTAGGGTTCGGGCCCGGCTTTGGGGATTTGGGGTTGCCGGCTCAAGGTTCCCTAAACCCTAAATCCTCAACCCTAAACTCTAAATCCTAAACCCTAAACCCTAAATCCTAAGTCCGAAACCCTAAACCCTAAACCCTAAACTCTAAACCCAGGATGTAGGGATTGCAGCGTATTCCATGGAGAACTCAAGTGAGGAGTCCAGAGGTTCGGCTTCTATGAAGGGCTTGGGCGGCCTTTTGCAATGCCTGCGCGTAAGTTTGTGTCCAGCATATCCCCAGTGTTACTGTTTCATAAGTGTACCCCAGCTGTCACTTGTGTTGTTGGCACTCGGAAGATAGCGAATCCCATCAAGAATCCGATGCGCAGTGCATCCTCAATTTGAGGTCCCCAGAAAGGAAAGGGGACCGTCTACGTCGACTTACGAGTACAGACAAGCCTGCATCTCTCAGGCTGCCTTGACTTAAAAGCCCTTTTCGGTACCAAGTAGGGTTTGAGTATATGCCCTGCTAGAAAGTCATGCCGAGCGGTACACAAACGCTAGACTCAACCCTGCAATCCCAGTGTAAACAGGTTCCACATAGGCACAACTATTGTTGTCAATACATCTGAAGAAATCAACAAGCTTTTTAATTCTCGGCGCCTTCTCTAAACCTCCCAAGCAAAAACTCCGAATGCTAAACGCCCCCCACCTCCCCCTGACCAAAGAGACCTGGACCCCGACCCGCTTCAAAAAGTAATCAGAACCCAAGCACTTCTCCCCTCCTTATCTACACCCTAAACCCCCAAACCTAAACCCTGGCTGCCCAATCTGGGCTTTTCGTAGTGGGGCAGAGTCTTGCAGACGAAGAAGGGGCCTTCAAAAACGAAATGAACCCTAAACCCTAAACTCCTCTGAGGTAGCCCTTGGCTTGCTGGGCGTCGTCACCTCTGAGAAGCTCTTCTCGGCCTGCTCCCCGGGGGCCAATTTAGGGTTTCGGGTTGGGTGTTTAGGTCACAGGTCTTTTAGGGTTCCGGGTTTAGGGCATTTAGGGTTCAGGGTTTGGGCCTTGTAGGGTTCAAGGTTCAGGGCATGGCAATAGTTCAGCTATATAAAAGGTCTCCGATCTTCATCAACCGTCGGACCTCTTGTTACAGCTCCGCTGCCAGATCTGGCGCTACGTGATTGTGGGCAGCGCTATTGTCCTGGACTCAGCTCTTGCTGAAAGCCTCCTAAGTCGTCAAGCCCGAAAGCGGGTCAGCTTCGAAGGCGTTGTGGAAGGTAGAGGCTTCGGGTTTATGGCGTCTAGACCTCAATAATTTCTTCTTAGATTGCATGTAGCCGCATTTTCCAACAAACTCCGATCAGGCACGACCTAACATCACAGTGGTGGAATCGGGGTTGAGCGTGCAAGGTTCCTCCTAAGAGGTTTAGGGCTTAGGGCTCCTCTCAAGGGGTTTGCGGTTTAAGGTTCCTCTTACGCCTCACAGCCCCTAACCCTAGCCGCTGAAAAGCCTTCCACCTGGAATAAAGCCCCTAAGCCCTAAACCCTAAACCCTAAACCCTAACCCCTAAGCCCTAAGCCCTAAACCCTAAACCCTAAACCCTAAGCCCTAAGCCCTAAACCCTAAACCCTAACGGCGAGGTCGGTGCTGTCCTGACTCCCTCCACAGCCTCTTGAAAGCAAGCAGTGCCTTGGGGGCTTCGGGGCCTCAGGCTCGGTTCTTCGGGGTCACGACTCTGTTGCTCTAGGAATCTAAGGACTCATAGATTAAGGCTTTTGGGCCCAAAGGCCATACTATATGAGGCTTTTGGGCTGTTTTGATGCCCAGGGTTACAAGCAACAAGATAACTCACGGTCAGAATCGTAGTCCTCATCTTAATGTGATAAGGAAGGGTCAGGATCTGGTCTTGGTTGCTATCTATCGATTCGGGCTTGGGTTTAGGCTTTGATTCCCACGAACGGATATGTGAATATATGGAGACATGTAGCTATGGCAGTGTTTGCTGTTTTGTTTTTGTAGATGGGGGCGGGGCTTCTGGAGCCGGTGTGAACGAATCCCATGTTCGAAGGCCTGAAGCCTCAATGTTCATCCTCGCGTTCTAGATCCCTAAGCCGTGACCCTGAAACACCTACCCAAAGCCCTGAACCCTGAAACCGAGTTTGTAATTGTGACCCTAAACCCTAAACCCTGAGGCATGCAGCCTTGAGCAGTGTTGCTGATTATCAGCTTTGCGGGCTGCTGCCCGTTTGGCTTAGGGTTTAGGGCTTAGGCCCCAACAGACCTGTAACTTAAATCTTTCTGAGAAGATAAGATAGAAGCCCGAAAACATCACTATTTTCATCTTGCACTATTTCAATACACACCCCAATATACCCTCAAACCCAGTTCTCCATCACGGCGTCTATATTGCTGTTTAGAAGTTCCATCGGCAAGATGGGAAGACGGTAGATCAGCAATCACCTTGAACCGAACAACCTGTTCGTATGGCTACACTATCTTACTGCTAGATAGATTATCCATTTTTTTAGTATATATCTGATTATGCTGCTTTTGGAATCCTGCATATACCAAATTTCGAAAAGCCAAGAAACCCGAAACTAAACCCTAAAACCCGAAAGCCCTAAAGCCACCACAAACTTTAAATCCTGAGGATCCTGTCACGCAGCTGCTGCTATCCGGCGCACTGTATCCAGCTCAGAGCTTTACATCGTTTCTTTCGGTTTAGGGTTTAGGGTACGTAGTGTGGTATTAGGGCTTTGGGGTTCGAGAGTTTAGGTTTGCAAGGCTTTTGGGATTTTTGTCTGGAACTCTACTGGGTCGAGGGCTTGCGTATTCGATAAAGGGTTTGCTGATGAACGTCTCCTTGGAAACCACTGTTCCAGAGGGTCATACATGCAGAATGCGTGCGCAAAGGCCTAAACCCGAAAGCTCTAGCTTCGAAACCCCTGAACACTGCAAAGCTGTCTATCTCGACTGACCCTGTCGCGCCCTCGTTCCAACATCCTGCAGCCCTGAATGGCCAGACCCTGAAACCGTTTAATCGCTCAGACATATATGGGTTCTGGCTGCCGTTTCTTCAATCTTTTCCGGCGTCTTCAGCAAAGTTGTTCGAGGGGAGTGGATTGAAAATGGTGGGGTTGGTGCTGCTTTCTTGACCTGCCAGTGACGATGCTATAGCGGCCTGCAGTTTTGACCACGAGTGTTATGGGACGATTTGAACGCTAAACCCCAAAGCCCTGACTACATCCGTAAACCCGTCTTCAAACCCGAAAACCTGCACCCTAAGAGCCTAAAGTCCTTAACCACGCTCCGGCGCATCGGGTGACCCACCAAGCCGATAAACAGTCCCAAGCCTCACACCCGGACTTTACAAAGCTTGTACCAGGGTAGGTTCCTAGATTAGGTCCCTTTTGGGGTCCTTTCTATATCGGCGCTGTGCTGTACTGTTTTGGGGACCCAAGAAGAGACCGTGATTTAGAGATGTACCCACAAGGCTCTATGGGGCTATATGAAGTAGTTTGGGAGTTTCCGAAGATTGGGGGGTACCTTATTTGGGGGTTCTTATAGTAAGGATCCTATTAAATAGGGTACTATATTAGGGTCCCCTGTTTCCGGAAACCCCCGTTTGTCAAGCCCTCCTATCGGCGGCCTATCGGCTTCCGGCCCAAATCCTAGAAGACCTCCAGTCTAGGTAGGGCTTTGGGACATTTTACATTTTCCTTTGTTGGGCTTAAGAGGATCTTATTTGCTAATATTTTTCAAAGGCTTTAAAAGCCCCACCTAGCAGTGTAAACCGCGACATCCCAAACGCAGAGAGTCAGCCGCAGGTGCGCGCTGTACTTTGCGGGTGGCGGTGTGCTGGCGGCTCTGGGTCGGTAGGAGACGTGAGTTTTGACAGGTTCTGAGAGGTGCCCAGAGACTCCAATATCCCTTAATTACGGAATATTCCTTAAATCATATTCGCGACCCTACTATATTTGAAGGTATATTCCTTAATTCAGGGATATTGGAGTCTCCGGGTGACTGAACGTCCCAAGCCCCTGCGGGTTTAATCCACAGTGCTACTTTACCTCCAGCCGGCAGGCAGCCAAGATTCAAGCAGACCAGATGTGTGTCCAGAAATTGTAGCATGTTCCTTTACAGACCCAAGCTTGTCTCGGAAACCGGGAACCCCAGAGTCCTGGTCGGCACCCAAGCTTAGCTGTATGTAGTCAGGCACCACTGCAACCCCAAACCTCTCTCTCTCTCTCTCTCTCTCTCTCTCTCTCTCGCTTTCTCTCTCTCTCTCGCTCTCTCTTTGTATGTGCAAGTCTGTGTATGTATGTATGTGTGTGTGTGTGTGTTTGTACATATGTTGGTGGAAGTATGTGTATGCATGTCTGCATACACGCATGTATGTATGCGTGCATGTGCGTATGCGTACATATGTATGTGTAACGGTATAAGTAATTCAGTATTCAAGTATATCTGTATGTCTGTCTCTCTGTCTTTCTTTCTGTGTGACATGTATGTATGTTTGTATGTATGTACGTATGTATGTATGTATGTACGTATGTATGTATGTATACATGTTTGTACATGTATGTACATGTATGTACATGTATGTATGTACATGCACGTATGTACATGTATGTATGTATGTACATGTATGTATGTGTATGTGTATGTATGCATGTATGTAACTGTGCATATGTTCGGATGTGTGGATGCTTGCCTGCTTGCATGGAACGTCAAGCAAACAAACACACAGTTACATGAATAAGACACGATTCAAGACAGCCAAGTACGAAAGTGGAGATAGCTGTCTTTCTGTCTGTCCATCTGTCTATCTGTCTATCTGTCTATCCATCTCTCTCTATCTGTGATCTATCTACCCATCCATCGACGAACCGCTTTACCGTCACATCTGTCTATCTGACTATCGGGCTGTGTTTATATATATCCATCTGCTTGTCTGCGTGTCTATCTATCTATCTATCTCTCTCTCTCCATATCCCTCCATCTCTCTGTCTCCCTGTGTCTTGATCTCTCTATCTCAGTATCTATCTGTCTCTCTCCAGCTCCATGATGTAGCGTGTGCAGAATCCACCCCTTTTGTGGGGACTTCTGGTACGAGAGTACTAGAAACTCAGCTAGTTCATTTAGATCTCGGGACTGGGGCTTTCTGATAGACTCAGCGGAACGATGCAGCTGGCTCGCGGACAGAAAAGACATTGGGTATCGGCTTGGTGTATGGAGGATTGAGAGGTAAATGGAACGGATGATCATCCAGGGGCTTCTAGCCCAAACCCTGCATCGTTGAATGCCAGATCCTGGAAGGCATCCTCACCGTGCCAAACTGTTCCAACTCTACCTGATTTTGCAGGGTATATAGTACGGTTGATAATATAAATCCTGCACTTCGTTAAGGACCCCAGACTATGGGAATTATGGTGTACTCCTTATTATGGATAATTTGCTGACCCCGAGTTCATGGAGTTCGCCGCGAGGGTCTGAGAGGACATCCGGAACTGCATGCTGAACCCGAAGACAGACGAGAGCTCACCATGGCCTTCGTGGTCCTCAAAGTTGTCGTGCCGGTGCTGTGCCTTGGACTGCTGATGGGCTGCCTTGGGTACCGGCGCCACCACCTCAGGGCCACGACCGCAGCAACGACAGATGTGGAGCTTCCTGAGCATCCATTGCGGGCCTAAGACGAAGAGGTGAAGCGAGGTGTTGCCTCCTTCACCCGGATAGGTTGCGCACGATAAAATCACAACTTCAACAGATTCGGAGTCAGAATGGGATGACGACAACACCTGCAGCCGGCTCGCGCTTCTTTTCTGACTATGCCAGTCTGAAGCTTTTGAAAGTCATAAACCGTTGTTTCGAGGATCCTTTATCTGAAGCCCGTTCTTGTAGACCTCACTAGAACCTATGAACCCTTTCCTTGGACGTTCGGTTTCCTGCCTGTGGATATTGAAGATGCACGGAATGGTGATGATGATGCTGATGGTTGTGATGACGATAATGCTGATGATAATGAAGATATTGATGGTGGTGATGACGGTGATGATGATTTCGAGGGTGATGATAGTTCTGATGACGGTTATAGTGCTGATGATGGTGCTGCCGCTGCCGTGACAACGATGACGTGTGCGTTGGTGGCTTTCACGCTGATGACCGTCTTTCTGACTCCAGCGATGAGGACGGCGAAGCCGACGAAAAGACTACGAAACAGAGGAAGATCAAGATTATTATCATTAAATTATTACTGCTACTACTACTGCTACTATACGACCGAAAATATATAGGTACAAGAAAATAATGATAGCAACAACGGCATCATCAATGCAGTCAGCATCAACAGCATCGGCAGCAACAGTTGGCTGTAGAACTCTCAATCGCTGCGAGGCGCCTGCCTCACGGTTGAAACATCAAATTATTCATCCAGGAAATGAAAGGCTGAAGCTCAAGACTCTACTGGCATACTTATAACGAAGGATTTCTTGAGGGTGTTTGGAGTCAAGATTCATGGCTCTGGGGCTAATTATTCGTAGGTCTTTGGAGTCATGTTATTCAGGGTCAGGGCCTTGGTATTAACAAATTTGTATAGTGGTTCACGTGGCTGATTACTGCTAGATGCTATCATGTCTGCGTCCTTTCTTGTGCATCCCGCAGTATAAACTCTGGGATGCAGGGTGCTAGCCCGCGCCATGGCTCTGTGGTTTCTGCTCTCACTGACTTTCGGCGTAGTTTCGACCGAGCGCTTTGATGCATCCGGCTTGTGAAGCACTTCTCTTTTTGCTCTGTGTTTTAGTCTGTTTCTACAAAGTTTACCGTGGCAGTTATGCAGCACGGTTGTTCTGCAATTCAGGAGTACGTCAATGAAGCCCAGAGGCAGAAACTGTTTATGCAGCACGGCAACGACCGGTTGCGGGCCGCTGTTAGACAGGTCGAAGAGCAAAACGAGCACAAAGTTGTGCTCTACCACGCCCCTGGCATGATGGATGAGTAAAAGCTTTTGTATCGTTGGCTTCCCATTGGCTAGTAGTTTGAAGGTCTGCCAAGGTAAGCGAGTAAACTTCATCCGTCCATAGAGCTCTGAACCGGCAGTGTGATTTCATACCGAGGTCGATTTTTTCAAGGTTTGCTTTGGGAACCACTACCCCCTGATGAAGGGGCGGATCTAAGAAACATGCTCAACCACGATCTTTTAAGGAGGCGGGTTTCGGAAATACGATCAACTCTCATTGCTTAGCTCTGTACCCCCTCTTCCTGCTTGTTGCTGAGCCGTGCAAAGCTCGTGAAGAAGGACCTCATGCCGGCGAGGGGAGGAGTGAAGACATGTGATCAAGTACCATCGTCAACGCGGGGTGGGTTTACGAAATGTCGTGATTTGCTATCGCCCAATGAGAGGGCGGGTTGAAGAAATTTGCTTAACGGCCATCGCCCATAAGGGGGCGAGTTTACGACAGTGACCGACCGCCCTCGCCAAACGCAGGGGCGAGCTTAAGAAGTGTGATCAACCACAATCGCCTCAGGGGCGGGCATAGGAAATGAGATCAACCAAATGCACGTACTGGCGGGAGTTGAAGACCAGGCGGACGAGCACGAGGGGCCCCACAGCGTGCGCCAGCCGGCATATTGAACATGTCGAGTGTTTCGAAGACAAAATGAGGCCACACTAGTATCATAATTGCTACATGATATGATATGATATGATATGATATGATATGATATGGTATGGTATGATATGATATGATATGTTGGTATATGGCTTTCAATGAGTTGGTCCGGTTGGGGACTGTAGAGACGACCTGATTGTTATCGAGAGTGCCGGCCGCACCACAATGGGAGCTGCCGGGCACGAGAGACCAAAAGACCCAGCAACAAACATACATAATATGATCTAGTACAGTAGAATATAGTATGGAAAGGGCAATGTAAATAATGCAATATAACACAACGCAACATAAGACAATTCCATAATCTCATTCGAACCATGTGATACCCCAGAAAAGGTGTTGCCGCTGAGCGGCTATCTGATGGCTTGGCTGGTGCATGGCATCACGGCCAAGGAGAGTCTGGAGTGGAGGAACATACCGGGCGTTTCTGCCGAACTGAAAATCAGTCTCCGCCACTTTGAGCCTGGCATGAGCTTTACCTCTTTCACGCGGCACTTCTGCTGGCAGTTCATGAGTTCTTGCGTGGTGAGGGGCTTGGGCACTCCAAACGGAGTTCGAACCAACAGTGGTTCCGGAAGTTTCAACGGGTAGTTCTGAAGCCTGGTTGAGACTTGTTTGTCGCTCGTATATGCGGAAGTTCGGACAGCGGCAGACAACATTCCCTGGTTCAGACGTGTTCCCTGACTGCTTAATCTCATTATACGGAGATTCTTCCATACGGAGTGCATAGTCACAGCGGAACCTCTGGGTACGTTTAGCCCTGGACGCCTTGCTTAGCACTTTTCTTACGTTCCTGAAGTACTGTCGTATCTGCACCTGGAGCAGCTGACCCCAAACCGTAGCAAATCGAGAAGTGTACCAAGCTGAAAGCTCAGTTTCCTGATTTGGCTCAGCTAGGTGGGGCAAATGAGGGTCAGGAGGGTCGGCCGCTCTTCGTTAAAGGGTCATCATATAGTACATATACATATATACATATATATATATATATATATATACATATGTATATACATATATATATATATATATATATATATATATATATTAGCATATGTATGTATGTACGCATGTGTGCACGTACATAGGTATGCATGCATGCATGTATGTACACATACATGCATCTTGTGATATATGCAGTTCCCATGGTCTCTTCCCTTCGACCACCCAAGCAGCGCCTCAGATTTCATTGCAGCCACGGAAAGCATTGTAGAGCCTTGCAGAGCCCTGCTATATCCGCCAAACCAGCCAAGGCCTTCATGAAAACTCATGCACCCCCCTTGGCCTTCTCGAGCTCCCGTAGATAACACATTACGTATCTTGAACAACCGTAAACCCTAAACCTCTAAGCCCTCGACTCGAAACCCTATAAACCCCTCAGCCCTAAACCCCTCGACCCGAAGCCCTCAGCCCTAAACCCCTCAACTCTCACCCCCTTCGACCCCAAGCTCCTTAACTCTCGACCAAGGCACAATGCCTCGATTTGTGGGAAGAGGGTTCTGCGAAAGGTGCGAGAAGCCGACCCGAGGAATGCGAAGGTCGGCCCACTTAAGGTTTCTTTGGGGTTCAGGGTTTAGGGGTTCAGGTTTAGGGTTTAGGGTTCAGGGTTTAGAGTTTGGGGGTTCAGCTTTTGGGTTGTCGGCTGCCTGGTGGCCTCACATCCAGGATAACCTGCACCTCCGGTCGTTATTCCACTCATGCTGGAGAGGTGCTCATCGAAAGTCGTGTGTAATCGTGCGATTGTCGAGCGAGGGTGTCTTACACCATAGTCCGGCATGATCGTGTGATCTTGCGGATAGGGCCCCACGGTTGGGGTTCACGGATTCAGGATGTCAGGCCGGACCGCATTGCGAGTTAATGACGGAGGGCTTCCGGGTGGAGGCAGCGTTTCAGGGTTACAGGGCTTAGAGCCGAGAGCCCACGGCTAAAGCCTGCCAGCTACTGTAAGAGAACAATGCAAGTTGATAAGAATAGAACCTATAGCAACAGTAACATGTAACAAGGCGAGTGTTATGACATGCTGAACAAAGCAAGAAGGACAGCTAGACAACCCATCGCAGCATGCGACGGTCTTCGCAGAATGTGACAGCATTTGAAGAGCACACGGTCGGGGGCCAATATCAGCCAGGTACATTTTTATAAAGTCAGATCGCCACGGTAGTATATGTAGCTTGTCAAACACTTTATAGTCGAGAAACAAAGACTAGAGTACATAAGCACACAGCCAACCAAGGGTGAACCGCTCTGGCCTTTGCCACAAGACTCTGCCACACATATGTGCATCAATCCAGTAATCCGAAGCCCGAAGTTCTCACTGAAGTGCTTGCTTCGAGATTCTCTCCTCGCGTCCAGGTCCTCGGCGATGGGGAATGGAGCAACCGCTGGAGCATGCCCACAGATATCAAAGATTGGAAAGACTTCGAAGTCACTTACAGGAACAGTGTCCAAAAGGCATTTCGGTTCTGGTTCAGCAATTTGTTTGTACATTCGTTTGGTGCCTAGCTTCAAGCCCCAAACTGCTGAGCCCCAAAACCTCTAATCGGCTGCTTTCTTCCACAAATTTTCCAGATCTCAGGTTTATCACGATTGCCGCGCGCTCGTACCTTGGTTTGGAATCAGAAAATGGTGTCTCTGGCGAATTTGGGGGATCTCTCCATTTCTAATGAAATCATTATTGCTGACGCGCAACAGGAATGAGTGCATGATCCCATGATAATATGCCTGTGCAGAAACATTGTGGGACTGCAGCATGGCTTAGTGTAGTCGCGACAGCATTGAGATTATGGCAGGCAGTCACAGTCACGTTGATCATGACCAGGAATGTGAGAGTACCAGCAGTAGTCGCAATATATTGCATCTACATACGTGTCTACGTATACGTGCGCTTAGAGCTGCAGGTACTCACGCCGCCCCATGGTGAAACCAGTGTAGCTGGCGCCGTGGCACTAAAGTAAGTATCGTTTCAACATACGGTTGTAGAGCATGGCGTAGCAGCAGTATGGCATCGGCATGAGCTTTCTCCGGGACCGTTACGCATACCATCTCATATTTTTTCTAGAAGTTGCATAAGATCTTGAGATGGTCCGTAGGTTTGAATCCCTTCGTGCCGGTTCCCGTTACATGAATCTTTCGCATCGCCCGCAAACCCCCGAACCCCAAGTGAAGCACGAAAAACAGTCGTCCCCACCCAAACGCGGACATACTACTCCGCAAGCCCCCCAAGGCCCCCCTACCCCCGCCCGCAAGGCTTATTCTGAGTTGGTGGAGGACAACAACAAGAACGGCCCCCTACTGGAGGAAACAGCTCTGGCGGATGCGCATGTCAACACGGGCAAGCAGTTCGCTGAGTACTTGGACGCTAAGGCCGGTTGTAGAGTTTCAATATTGTGAAAGCCCTCGTTGTGAAGCCCGGCATACTAGAGTCTCGGGCGGGACGCATGCGTTCTAGCAGTAGAAATCTCACGTGCTGGACTTAGCTAAGGGCCGTGAGCTGATTTTCGGTTTGCTCTGTGTTCCAAGGTCGGGGAGAAGTGGGAGGACATGCCTTCATTCTTCAACGGGATGTCGACAGTAGGTGTTCCGGACAGACTCTTGGCTCCGATCAGCTTAGTTTTCTTGCTCAGAGGCGCGCAATTAATTAAGTATTTGTCTCATTGATCAATACTCTCGTTAAACACTAAGAAGCTTCGATCATGTTTTTGGGTGGACTCATGGAGCTGCGCCAAGCCATCTGATGTAGTTCAAGACGTGTATTCAGATTCATGACAGGTTCTAAACCTTCAGCGACCCAAACCGTAAACCCTGAACCAGGAACGGGAGGCCAACACGCCGGAACACTTTGGGCACGACCGAGGGTCTAGGACTAAGATTGTGGCTCCGCCGGCGAACTACTGAGGACTCCTCGATGCACAGATCAACTTGCTCGGCAGTTCATTCATCGGTGCGAAGCAACTTGGCACTCCAAGCATGTGGGAGCACTTCACACTGTGGAAAACGGCGGAGTTTGACTTGATGAAGCACGACGAACTGGAATATATTCGCGGGCCAGAGTTTGGGGGCAGACCTGCTTTGCTTGATCAAGTGCTTAACTCCTTCAAGCTTTCGTCGGTGTCACTGGGTCAGCCCTGGAAGTTTTTTCCTGTTCCATTACCACAACTGCTATAAGCATCCTTCCTCGACCCACGCTTTCCACAGACTGCAGGACACTCCAGAAGGTTTCCAACCTGCTGTCCTTGCTGAGATGCGCAGCGCTGATGCGCTTTCCTGTGAAATCACAAGACTTTCATGAGAGGACCTACATTCCGGCGACCACCCAAGACCTCGACACGGTTTCTAAGAGGTTCGTCTTCCGCTGGCGTGCCGTTTAGAGGCGTTACACCGACCAACCTCCCCTTGCTGACAAAGTATGGAACTTCAGTTGCGGAGCGTGAGTTCTCCCTGTCAGACCTGTTCATCACCACTAGGACCCCAGGAAGACCTCCGTACACGCACTGTAGCCTTGCATCACCCCTCGCCAGGACTGAACTAATGAGCAAATGCTGGGAAGGAGATCGAGAACCCTACTCACCGGAGCCTGAGCCGCACAGAAGGCTTAGGCGAATTTGGGACACTATTGCATCACATTATTTTGTTTGTTAATGTATTATGTTGTAATGTATTAGATCACAGTTTACATACATATATATATATATATATACAGATACAGTAGTATGGTATATCACAGTACAGATTTAAGTAGAGTACAGTACAGTAAAGTGTAGTAAAGTATAGTATCATAGTATAGTTCAGGCTGCCAGAGGCTTCTGATGTGAGGTCGAGCCTTAGAAAGAAACTTGGGCCTACATCTTGAACCTTCAAGCCTCACGCCCATGCAAAGATCTGATCTCCTCTATGATGTTTAGTGGTATCTTGCGTGAGCATGATAGGGCTTCGGGGTCCACGGCTCCGGACGACGAATGTTTTTTCTCATTTTTTCGGGGGTTGATACTTGGCTGTGGGTTTAGAGTTGTACCAGAACTTCTGAGACGTAGCTCTACGACCGCCCGCGTGCATCATTACTGAATTTTTGTTCGAAAGACTTGCATCATATCGCATCAATATTAGTTTTAGCGTTGGTATCATTACTGGGTGGGGGGGCCTTCTAACTGATGTTCATAAAAACCAATACTAATACTAATTAGTCCAATGGTGGTCATCGAGATGACTATTGGGATTGGTTAAGAATTAGTGTGAATACTAATATTAAGAATAAACTTGAATGCTAGCATTAGTGTTAATGGTTGTATGGATATTGATAGTATTGTTATTGTACTGATAATAATAATGCATCATGTAGTATTACAGTTAATATTGGATTAGATTGGGTCAGACTAGATTACATTATAGTATAGTATAGTGCACTACACATTGTATATTACATTTTAGAAACAACTTTGTGTCCCGGCCATACAGCTTCTTAACGTCTTTACGGCTTCGGCCTCCTAAGCCTTTGCAGGATACGTTCTACAGTGCGAGTGCTGCCTAAGAAAGGGGTGACGTTTTGTCAGAGGTCGCTGACTTCAAAGCAGGTATGTTTGCGTGTCATGTGTTTATGTGTGTTTATGTGCCTTGTACGTTATATATGCGTGCATTGGCCCAAAGTTGCATTGTCATGTTATGAGGTTTTGTGTACATCTTCTTTGCAGAGTGAAGCGAAGTGCTTCTTTCCTTTTTTTGCTCTCCTTTCTCCTCTTTCCCATTTTTTCCTCCCACCCTTCTCCTTTCTTTTCTTTCCTATATCTTTCTCTCCACCAACGAGAAGAACAACAATAACATCAGTAATCACAACACTCGTCCTGGCGGATTTCTGCTTTGCTGTCTTCCCTCTTCTCTCATGAATGTTTGCGGTTGAAGATTGTGGATTGGTTGTGTGGAATTAGCTTTACGGATTTTTGTTTTGCGGACGCTTGTGCAGCGGATGGGGTTTGCGGCTTCGAGTTTGCAGATGAACAACGATGTGGATAATAAGTGCGCATGAAGCCCCTAAACCTTTATAAACCCTAAAGCCTTGTCCTGATACCTGCTGCCCTCATGGCCCGAAGAAGCTTGAAGTCAATCACCCCAAGCGTTGCGCCCTGCGCAGCTTGAGGACTTGCCCTGGATCATTGGGGGTTCCTTAAAATAGCTACAGTATACTTGGCCCCTACAAGTACCCTTGCTAGATCCCTTATTATAGTAACCGTCACGGTTATAGATCCCTTTAAAGAGGAGCCCTCTTCTTATTTTTGAGGCACCTATAGTACCAGCCTCAGGACTTGCCAAAGATGAACCGGATCACTAGGGGTTCCTTCTTATAACTACCATAAGAAGGGCCCTATATTACCCACAAACCCTAAGCCTTGAGGACTTGCCAAAGATGAATCTGGATCATGTGGCGAGTAAGTGGACCAAGGCGGGCTGGGAGCACCACCTGAAGTTTTTCAGGCCTCGAACCAAGAAGGGGCCATTAGGGCTTTAGGGTGTAGGACCCCTTTAAAGGGATCTATCGGGAAACTGTAGGGTTTAGGGTTCAGGGCTTCAGAACGATTCAGGATCAGGAGCCTGCTGACCAGCCCAGTGGAAGGGAGTCGGGGACGGTGAGTGATGGGCTATAGGTAGGGTTCAGGTTCCCCTTATAAGCCCCTTTAAGCCAAAAAAGGCACTCTTTTTATTCCTGGGTTACTCTTGTGTCTAGTGGGGTTCTGGAGGCCTGTGGGAACCTTCGGCAGGGCTTGACCCAAATCTTGGCGTGGTGCAGCTTGAGTTGTAACAGGGCGTATGCTCTTTGCGATGCAGGAAAAGGGCTGTCTTTCCAACCTTTCGAACATTGTTATTTCGAAGTTTCTTATGGCCAAGAAAGCCACGAGATCATCTGACAACAGTGAGGCAAGCCCCATCCGAACAAACCCATGCCTCCACCATCCTATAGCTCCGAGGTAACCCTGAGCCGAGAATCTCACAGCCTGAACCTGGAAATCCTGCGGCTCTGACGTAGTTTACAGGAAAATACTGAATGCCCGAAAAAAAGCAACAGGATGCGGCCATCCGCCTCCAAAATGGTGGCCTACCTACCCCGGAAGAGACGAGAGGCTTTTGGGGTCGAATGAATCAGTAATACCAAAAAGGCACTCCGCATCATGATGATGGAGTTAGACCAGCCAATACTTCCCACCTGTTCAATAGGTAGGTCGATACCTCATTAAGGCGGTTGATTGGCGCTTTTATGGTGTAAGGTTTAGGGTTCAAGCTGATCGCCCGCCAACTGGATCCCTTGATCCTGCTCTCTCGAAGCTTCTGGGTTTGCAAAGCCAAAGCCATTGAGGTGGTTGGCTGGTTTAAGGTTGGGCTTTCCGGGGTGCTTTATTGGTGTGAAGTTGTCTGTGCAGACTAAGCCGAGGTAGTTTGAAGAGGGGACTGATGAGAGCTCGGGGATGCATTTGCGGATTCCGGGTCTCGCGAAGCAGCATTTGGGACTGGGTTTACGGGGTTGGACAAGTAGCGACTTTACCGTCTCCTGTGATGCAAGAGTACTGCAAGCAAGCATCCCCGAGGCTTCGCCAGGGTTCTCTTGCAAGTGGTGCTGCCGCCGGACTCGGCCAATGACCTGGCCTACGTCAGTACTGGCTGGAAAGCAGAGAGGACAGCCCCACCAGTTGGCCACGAGCATGTGGATTGGAAAGATGTCAGTTTCATGGATGCGTACCAAGCATTGAAGAACACGGCGCATGGCGACAAGGTCACGGCACGCGTGCTCTTGAAGCGGGGCTGGGGTTTTGCGCCCCTCGACATGAGCGAGTCCGTGAAGATCATTGCCACTTCCATGGCCTTTGCCGACCCGGATTTTATGGAGTTCGCGGCGAGTCTTTTAGAGGACATTCGGAATTGTGTGTTGAAGCACCCAAAGAAAAAGAAAGACGAGAGCTCACCGTGGCCATCTCGGATCCTGACAGTCGTTGTTCTGGTGCTCTGTCTTGGGGTGCTCCTGCCCTGTTTTCAATACAGGCGCCACCACCTGAGGGCAACAACTGCAGCTATGACAGACGTGGAGCTTACCGAGCATCCACTGCGGGCCTGAGAGAGAATATGCGCGAAGCTCCAGCCCACACTGGTTCGATGAATTCGCCACAGATCTACAAGAGGTTTTCTTGGGGCCCTGAAGGAAGAAGGGCGGAAGAACTTCGTAATTAGCCTACCTAGCTTGCGTCTCAGGTATCCGAAACGTCAAGGATCCTAAGCCCGAGGCCCAAAGCTTGATTCATACACCCGAAGCCTCAACGCTTGCGTAACTCTGATGAAAAAGGGCGGCAGTGTAAGGTCTTAAAGCTTGGCGCTGCAACTAAACTATCATGGCATTCGAAGTCCCTCATATCGACGAATAGAAGAAGGATGAAGCAGGACTTCTTGAGGGTGTTTGGATTTAAGACTTGTGGGCCGAGAGTTCCAGGGAGGTCTGTGGGACCTTGTTGGGTTCAGGGTTCGGGGCCTCGGGATTCGAAGAGCTCGTAAGGGTTCAGGAGGCTGACTTTGGCGTTGGCGCGGCCGTGAGAAGGGAACTAGAATACGGGGTGAGGGGTCAAAGTTGCTGGGTCACATTTAGATGCGGGCTTCCGTTTTCTTGTCAGGGCTTTGGCAGTGGCATGCAACAGAGGGTCTCTTCCATGCCAAAAGCCCCCAATCCCAAACTGCGACAAGAACTGCCACACCCTACAGCCCCTAGCCTGAATCCTAAACCCTCAACCGTAAACCCTAGACCCTAAATTTAACCCTCAAGCCCTAGCCCTAAACCCTAAGACCCCACGCAAAGCCCGGCCCCACATACCCGGAGCCTGGCTCGGCAGGCCCCGGGCTAATTTCGGGTTGGGGGCCTTGGCGACTTGAGGGATTCGGGTTCAGGGTTTGGGGCTTAGGTTTTCGGGCCTTAGGACTTTACATAAAGGTCTGGGGTTTAGGGCTTCAGGACCTTCCATAGAGGGATTAGGATTTAGGGTTTAGGGGTTTAGGACTTTACAGGGGTTAGGGTTTAGGGTTTGGGGGTTTAGAGAATCCACCCACCGACTTATGATCACGATGCAAAGTGACAGCCCACGCCATGTCTCTGTGGTTTCTGTTCTCATTCCTGACCGTGACTTTCGGCGAAGTTTCGGCGGAGCGCTTTGATGCATCCGGGTTGTGAAGCACTGTTCCGTTTTCTTTGCATTTTAGTCTGCTTCTGCAAAGTTTCTACCGTGGCAGTTATGCAGCACTGTTGTTCTGCAATCCAGGAGTACGTCAAAGATGCCCAGAGGGAGACGGTGTTTACGCAGAACGGCAACGACCGGTTGCGGGCCGCTGTTAAGCAGGTCGAGGAGCAAAACGAGGACAAAGTTGCGCTGTACCACGCCCCCTGACATGATTCATCAGGTCCTTCTGCCACTTCGAGTGGTTGATAAAGTGGAGACATGGCTAAACTTCCATAGCTATGCCCTCGACCCCCGACGCTCCCCGACGAGGTGTTGCCGCTGAACGGCTACCTGATGGCTTGGCTGGTGCATGGCATCACGGCCAAAGAGAGCCTGCAGTGGCAGAACACACCGGGCGTTTCTGCTGAGCTGAACTTCAGTCTCCGCCACTTTGAGCCTGGCATGAGCTTTCCGTCCTTCACCCGGCACCTCTGCTGGACTGTTCTTAATTCTTAGTTCCGTTGGACTGCAGGCTTTGCAGGCACCCGAAATCAGGTCGGAACTACCAAGAGTCTTAAACCCAGACTCCATCGTTCCGACAGTTTTCCTGAAATTTCTACATGCAATTCCGAGGTGAATTTTCGACAGGAGGTAATGTGTGTGATAATCGAGGTGGAGCTGCTGGGCAGCTTTACTCCGCAGTGCATTTGTACACCTGTCTCTGAAAACTTGTTCAGTCCGTACAGTAGTGTACATAAGCTCACTAGGATGGGTGTATCCGTTATCAGGTCAGTACAAGGAGTACAAGCAGCCGAGTTTTCTCTGCGAAGCCTTTTCAAGGAGCCAGTATAGCCCGTAAGCACTTGTCAAAGCCAATCTCTGAAGCCCAGGCACAATGCATCCCTCTGTCTTGGCGGCCATAATCGAAAAGTGCGGACAGCCGATCCTAACACAGCGAAGGTGGGCCGGAAGTAAACTTCGGCGTTGTCTTTGAGAGTTCGTTTATGACTCAGTTTGAGGTGCGTCATTGCTGGCTAGTAATCGATGTAACTATGGTGTTCGGGTTCAGCATTTTGAGGTTCTGGTGCAAAGGTTTGGGGCTGTGGGAAACCGGGGCTTTCGGGTTTCAGGATTCGTTTGAGGTCTCCAATGTCTTGGGATTTCGCGGCGTGATCAGGGCTTCGGGTTTTAGGGTTTCGTGTTTCCGGTTCTGTTGTCTGTACGGTTCTCGGGGTGCTGTGGGTAGCTGGTTTGGGGATTCCAGGTTCCGTGGTTCAACGGTGCCAGAGCCGAGGCCACTTTTCATGTATGGGTGGGAGTAACTCGTGATACTATGCCCCGCCCTTCCACAAGGCACCTATATCTCGTTTATGGATTTCAGGCTGTGCGGGTCGTCCTTGGACCTAGGACTTGAATCAGGGCATTGTCGCTCTATGTGTTGTTTTTTTTTTTGGTTTTTCGTTTACAGGGCAAGCCACAGAAGCCAACCATCGAACACGGAGCACTAGAAAAGAGCCACCTCCCTGAACTGTGAGGACGTTGGGGCAACGTCCAGGTAAGTCCAGTGGGCGATGACCCAACTGCATGACGGAGACCACCAATCTAGATACCAAAACTCAGCCAATCTACAAATCCCAAGCAGTATGAACCCTGAGCACAACCTCCCCCGTCCCTGAAGCCCCACAGCCCTGGACCCCAAACCCCGGCCCTAAACCGTCATCCGACAATCCCCTGCCGAAGGAAATCTAGTTTAGAGAGTCTACCATGAGAAACCAGGTCCTGGGCGATGGCGATTGGAGCAACTACTACTTGACTGATCCCTACGAGATCACATACAGCACGACATCAAAGGTGGCGGTGTAGTTTTGTTAACATAGAGGCCTTCAGTAGTTACCTATACTTAGTATAGTACGATAAGCACCAAAAAGCCTGTCCAATTTGTTCAGGCCCGTGCATCAGTAGGTTGATTGGGCCGAAGTCCTAAGGTCAACTTGGTGAGACCTAAAGCATCCCAAAGCCCTTCACTTAGGGTCCAGGTTTCAGGGGTTAGGGTTTAGGGTTCCTGGGACATACTGCAGCCCCAGGAATATGATGACTGCCACGCCCTCGCATTTTGGCCTGAAAGAGCAATGAATGCTTTTGCCGACCGCTTTGTTGAGCTTTTACCCCCATCTAGAACAGCGGATGGTGCGGGAAGGACGGAATGTCACCCTACCCAGCGGTCCTAAACGCAAAGCCTCCGCCCCCAATGTTCCCCCAGCCAAGGTGTACTCTGAGTTGGTGGACGACAACAAGAAGAACGGCCCACTGCTGGAGGAAGGAGTCCTGTCAACTGCGCATGTCCACACGGCCAAGCAGTTCGCCGAGTACTTGGACGACAAGGCCGGAACTGCAGATTCTGAGGGGTGAGGTTCAGTGACAGTGTATACTGTAGGCCCCAGGTCTGGAAGCAGAGGCCCTAAACCCTAAACTAAACCCTAGGCCCTGAACCCCTCTGTGGCAGTAGTCCCTCTACTACTGCCTCAGCCTCTAAGGCGTTCTGACTTCATGGATATCGCAGTAAGAAAAGGGGTTCCAAAAGGCCTAGAAAATTTCAACCCTAAACCTTGAACCCTAAACCAGAAGAATATTAACCATAAACCTTAAACGCTAAACCCTGAAACACAAACCCTAAACCCTAAACTAGAAGTTTCCATCAGGTCGGTGAGAGGTGGCAGGACACGCCTTTCCCGAGTTCCTCCGCAGGGATGACGACTGTCGGAGTCCAGGAAAGACGCCTGGTGCCGACCAGTTTTGGGCTTTATAGGGTTTAGGGGTTTAGGGTTTAGGGGTTTAGGGTTTAGGGGTTTAGGGGTTTGGGGTTTAGGGGGTTTAGGGTGTAGGGTTTTAGGGGTTTAGGGGTTTAGGGTTTAGTTAGGGCTTAGGGGTTTAGGGGTTAGGGGTTTAGGGGTTTCGGGACGGGGTTTAGGGTTTAGGGGTTTTGGGCTTTTGGTTGGGGGTTCTGACTGCTCTTGTTGAGTCGGGTACCTCAGTTGGAGAATGTCTGACAGTATCCTACATCCTCTTCCAAGCTTGGCCAGGATCCCACACGCATCCTACCCTCAGACGCAGGTGCTGCCCTTCTCATTTCCTTTTGCTTCGCCCTCACAAGTAGGTCCTAAGCAATGGGGTAGTGTTTTAGTGTCCAGTTGATTTGGCACATCGCCGCAGTATTGTTTCTGGATTTGATTCTCATCCTACAGCTTCATTACAGATTCAAAAGCCTCAAACCACCAACCCCAAACTCGAACCCCTGTCAACGGCAGGTCAACGCAGCATACAGCTTAAACCGGCGCGACCTGAATGGGGATATATGGGTGGTTGTCAAAATTATGGTCCCTTTTTGGGCCCCTAATATAGTACGGCACCTAATACTTAGGGTACCCAAAAAGGGACCACAATTTCGACAACCACCCATATGGTAAATGTTAGGGTTTCCTTATCATCGGAACGTTATTTAAGTTCCTGAACAGCAACCCATTTAGCTGAGGACTCCTCGATGCACAGATCAACTTGCTCGGCAGGGCGGCCATCGGTGCGAAGCAAGACCGAACACCAAGCATGTGGGCTCACTTCACATACACTGAACGGGTGATTCAAGACTTGACTGCAGACCATCTGTCGGAACAATCTATCTGGTCAGATTTTGGGGATAGAGCGCCTTTGCTTGACCAAGTGCTTGACTCCTACAGCCTTTCGCCAGCGACACTGGGTCAGTTCTTGGGGTTTGTTTTGACAATTATAGTGATTGCGTGCGGTTGGTATACCACAACTGCATTCTTTCTTGTTCGACTCTTGACTGGCTCCAGGACACTCCAGAAGGTTTCCAACTTGCTGTCCCTGTTGAGATGCGCAGCACAGTTTCGATTTCCGATCCACCAGCAGAACTTCTATTTGAGGACCACTACCCGGGATGACCACCCGAAAGCCTCTCCCGAGAAAAGATCTCAGCCCCCGGACCTCGGTGTCGCGATCGACTCGGGATTAGCAAAATCTAGGGGTTGGGACATTTGCCAACTGTCTCCCGTATTTCTGGCCGCAGCGGCCGTGTTCGCAAGGGTGCTAGGGGATTTGAGGCCTGTCTGTTTCACCTTGTGCAGTTTTTGGGCCGCGCTCAATGGAGCTCATCTGACCGAACCAGAACCAGAACTGTATCCCCCAATGGGGGGGTGACCCTGACGCCTGCCCAAATGCTGTTAAGGTAGGTATTGATCTGCAGTGGCCAGATCGACTCTCCATCCAATGCTTCGGTTGATGATATAAATCCTGCATTGCCTCAAGGACACAAAACTATGGGAATTATGGTATATTCCTTATTATGGGTAATGCAGGATTTGTATCATCAACCGTTGGAATCTTATGCCAAAGCCCCGCTCAATCCCCTGCAGCTTCGAAAACACTCCTCAAGCCAAAACCAGAGCGGCCTTGAACCCTAAACCCTAAACTCTTAATTAAACCCAAACCCCTTAACTCCTAAGCTCCTACCATAAACCTACAAAAGAACTAGAGCCCCTCGCCAGGACTTTAATCATGAATGATTGCTGGGAAGGAGATCGACAGCCCTTCCCACCGGAGCCTAAGCCATGCCGAAGTCTTTGTGCGTAGGGTTTGGATAGTTTAGGGTTTAGGGTTTAGGATTTTGGGGTTAGGATTTAGGGTTCGCATTTCTTCTTATACCGTTTGATAAGGGTTCTACGAGGCCTGCTGGTGGTTAACGCTTTGCTGGGAGGTTTTCTCGAGGACAGTTTAGCTGGCGTCCTGTTTAGGGTCGGCAAGTGAGTCTGAAGTTCAAGTCTCCAGTCGAACACCGCGAAAGCACCGGATTCAGGGTTTAGGGGTTGGGAGTCAGGGCTAGGAGCCTCGCTAGTCGCCTTAAGAATTAATGTTCAAGAGGGTTTTGAGGGCGTACTATAACGAGAGTAAGGAACCCTGAAGAATGCGGCTGATGGTATTTATCCTGTATTGCCCAGAATAGGGAGCATACCATGATTCCCATAGTCTGGGCTCCTGAAGGCAGTGCAGGGTTTATATCATCAACAGTAGTATCGCTACATTTTCAGGCTTCTGCATGAATTAGCCCGACCAGTACATCACTTCTGCAAAGCAGAAAGCCCAGAGGCTTAAGTTTAGACCACTTCCCAGCGGGATCTTCCGAGTTCTGCATTGAACTGTTTCGAGCTTGAGGTTCTAGGTTTCGGGTTTTCATTTTGGTTTCTAGATTTCCGACATCGGCACCCGGCCCCACTGACATAGTGTTTGTTATGAATATTTTTTATCGAGATGTTCGGCCACCCGGAAATCCAAGAAGATTGGCCCTCAAGTACCTAGCGACTCCGGTTGAGTTTTGGATTTTGAGCTTCGAGTTTGGTTTCTGGTTTTCTCCCTAACGAAGGCTCGCCGAGGGTGCCCGGGATCCTTGAATAGTCTTCGTTTATAAAGGCATCCTGCGGCGTAGCCGAAATTTCGGGACATCGAACTGAAAACCCAGCCAATACCCCCTTTCGTTGCGTGTACCTGCTCTCGACCATCTGGGATCCTTGTGTGCCCAAGTTTTGCTAGCGATGTGTTTTGAGTTCCACTGTTTGAGTTCCGTTTTCGGGTTTGGGGTTCGGGACTCAGAATATTTTTGGATTTGCGAGTGGCCGAACTTTGCGGGAACTCTAATTCAAAAAACACTATTTTGGTGGGGCAGGGTGCCGATGTTGGGATACCCTCCTTTCTTTTTGTGTAATCTTGGACCGACCACCCGGCATCGCTGTGTGTCCAAGGCTTGCCACACACCGGCCCAAACCACCAAGAAGTGCACTTTGGGATCCCGGCCTTCGCAGGGTTCCTTACTATAGGGGCCTAAGTAGTTACCCATGCTATTTTGAGGATGAGAATTATAGTATAATGGCCCCCAAACCTATTCTAATTTTTAAGGCCCCTATATTAAACTTCCAGTGCTGCAGCACCCTTCCAGGAAATCCTTTCGGGCAAAGCGCAGACCAAATTTCGTTATTTATCCTTTTCTACGGCTGGGGTATTTGCAGCCCTGGTAAACCCGAGCCTTGTCTCAGGACCTGCCGCTGATGAGCCTTGATGATGTGGCAAGTAAGCGGACGAAGGTGGACTGGGAAGACTTGAAATCGTAACCTGAAATCGTAAAGCGTAAGGCCTCATGCAGCAGATAGGACCCGAGACATCCATCACTACTGACCCGAAGCCGTACCTCCGAAACCCTGCATGGTGAAGCCCTGAAGCCTCCAATAGAATTCGTCTACACCGCGACGAGAGCCCTTAAATAAAGGCCGCAGAACAGCACGATGACGAAGCAGCAAAAGGAACCGATGGAGACCTGATTTAAACGTGGCACGGAGGCTTTAGAAGCATACAAATCCTGGTCTTCTACGGGCCCTACTCGTCAGAGTACCAATGAGCAGGGACCTGATGGGGTACTGTTAATTTAACAGTTGTTAGTGAGTCTTTCCAATCATCGAAAATCTCACAGCTTCAATCCGAGTTCCGCTCGTACAAGCCCGTTTCTGCTTTAAGCTGCACTAGGATGCGACCATCGCCCTGGAAACTGGTGGCCTACCAGACACCCGGGGCTTCTGGGCAGCAAGCCGGTGCACTTAGGGTTTGGGTGTAGGGCTTGGCGCCTTAGGCTTGGGCAGGCGGCTGTGGTGTGAACACAACCACACCCGGTAACACCACACACATCTCTCGAAACCAGACAATTCACATCTACATTGATTCATCTCTAAGTTCGGCCCAGTGACTCCCGGCGAGCCTTCACGTAAGTGCGAGGGGTGTCGGATGACGGGCCCGCGCTTGGAAGGATTATGAAGTTGTACAGCAGCGACATGTTTTAGGGGATGGTATGCCGTTTGGCATGTTGTGACTCGTGCTTGAGGGTCTCGCATAAGGGCATTCTCATGTGTACCAATTCTCTAGAATCCAGATGAATCAGAAGCCGCTTTAGCTTGAACTGCTTCCAAGTATGTGTCTCGTACGTGCTGGTCAAGACGTGAGTAAGAAGGAAGCCAGCAGCAGGATCTCATGTCGAAGCGATCTGAGCCATCCCGAAGGCTTCTCGAGGGTCCTCTTGCAAGTGGTGCTGCCGAAGCACGTGGCCAATGACCTGGCCTATGTCAGCACAGACTGGTTGGACAAGACGGGCCCTCCACCCGGCCACCAACATAAGGATTGGAGAGGTGTCAGTTTCATGGATGCCTACAAAGCCTTGAAAAACACTGCAAAAGGTGACGAGGTCACGGCACGCATGCTCTTGAAGCGGGACTGGGGTCTTGCGCCCTCCGATACGACAGAGTCCGTGAAGATCATTGCCACTTCCATGGTCTTTGCCGACTCGGATTTTATGGAGTTCGCCGCAAGCGTTCTCGAGGACATCCGAAACTACGTGCTGCAGCACCCGAAGAGAAAGAAAGAGGAGAGCTCGCCATGGCCTTCGTGGGTTCTCAAAGTTGTCGTGCTGGTGCTGTGCCTTGGGCTGCTGATGGGCTGCCTTGGGTACAGGCGCCACCACCTGAGGGCCACGACCGCAGCAATGACTGATGTGGAGCTTCCCGAGCATCCGCGGCGGGTCTAAGAGAAAGTGAAGGAACAAGGGCAGAAGAAAGTCCGCAGGTGTCACATTTTTTTTGGAGCCTTGGAGCCCGTCTCAGGTGTCCGAGACGTCAATTTCAAGAGCTCTGAGTGGCTGTTAAGGTCTGTTGTGAGGAGGTATCGGGCTCGGGATGTTTCACGGATCCTAAGCCCGAAGCTCAAAACTTGATCCCTACATCCGAACCCTCAGCGATGACAAAGCTCTGACGAACAAGTGCGGCAGTGTAAGGTCCTGGAGCCTTAAAGCTTGGCGCTGACTATCATGGCACTCGAAGATCCCCAGACCCGACGAATAGTAGAAGGACTTGTTCAAGGTGTTTAGAGGGTCGAAAGCTCCCAGGGAGGTCTGTCGCATTTTATCATTCAGGATCCGGGTACAGGGCCTCGGGATTTGAAGCGCTTGCCATGACTGTAATGGTTCAGGAGGCTGACTGTGGCGGTGGCCCGGTCGCGAGAAGGGAACTGCGATGCGGGTTAGTTGAGGAGTCGCAGTTGCTGGGTCATATTTAGATACGGGCTACCGTTTTGCGGGATCGAGGAAGTTTCCACGGTTTCGGTTCGTTTTGGCAGTGAGGCACACAACATAGGGGCCCTTCCGAGTGCAGCGGCCCCCGATCCCAAACTGCGAACTGCAAGCGAAGAGAAATCCTAAACCCACAGCCCTAAAGTCTAAAATCCCAAACCCTTATTACCCTTCAGCCCTCAACCCTCGCACCCCAAGCATAAGCACTCTAAGGGGCTTGAGGACTTTAGGGATTACTCTAGGGCTTTAGGGCTTTGGGGATCAGGGTTTGGGTTTGGGGGTTCAGGGCCCTATATAATAAGAGTTTAGGGTTTAAAGTTTAGAGAATCCAGCATCGACTCGTGATCACGGTGTAGACTCTTGATGCAAAGTGATAGCCCACGCCATGGCTCTGTGGTTTCTGTTCTCATTCCTGACCGTGACTTTCGGCGAAGTTTCGGCGGAGCGCTTTGATGCATCCGGGTTGTGAAGCACTGTTCCTTTATCCTTGCGTTTTAGTCTGTTTCTGCAAAGTTTCTACCGTGACAGTTATGCAGCACGGTTGCTCCAGAGCCCAGGAGTACGTCAAAGATGCGCAGAGGGAGGAAGTGTTTACGCAGACGGGCAACGACCGGTTGCGGGCCGCTGTCAAAGAGGTCGAGGAGCAAAACGAGGACAAAGTTGTGCTGTACCATGCCCCCTGACATGATTCATCAGGTCCTTCTGCCGATTCGAGTGATTGATAAAGTGGCGACATGGCCATACTTCCATAGCTATGGCCTGCACCCCCGATGCTCCTCGACGAGGTGTTGCCGCTGAACGGCTACCTGATGGCTTGGCTGGTGCATGGCATCACGTCCAAAGAGAGCCTGCAGTGGCAGAACACACCGGGCGTTTCTGCTGAGCTGAACTTCAGTCTCCGCCACTTTGAGCCTGGCATGAGCTTTCCGTCCTTCACCCGGCACCTCTGCTGGACTGTTCATGTGCTAGTGGGCTCTAGGCCTGTAGGCACCCGAAATCAGGTCGGAACTAAGTGAGAGAAACGCCTTCAAGACCGTTTTGAAGACAAATGAGTATTACTTCTTGAGATACGCAGGCCACACGTCTGAAGCCCAGACTCCATCACAGCTTGGTTCCACCCTAAATTTCTATGTGCAATTCTGATAGGAATCTCCCACAGGGATGTTGTACGTGATGATCGCAGTGGAGCCGTTGGGCAGTTTCTTTTTGACAGTGTAGTTGTCTGTCCATGCAATCTTGCTCAGTCAAAACATTCGTGTACATCAGCACACGAATCTACACGCTTGGAACTTAGACAGGTGTAGCCATGTATCTGTACCGACTTGTCTGTGCAAAGGCCTCGACCCTACACCCTCCGCCCTAAAGCTGCCCTGAAGCCCAGGCACAATGCATCCCTCTGTTTTGCAGACTGGAATAAAAAAGTGCGGGAGGCCGATCCTAACACAGCGAAGGTGGGCCGGAAGTGAACTTCGGGGTTGTCGTTGAGAGTTCGTTTATGATTCAGTTTGAGGTTGATTTTTGCGGGCTTCGGACGCGGATTCAGCATTTTCAGATCCAGGTTCAAGGGTTCAAGGCTTTGAGTAATTGGGGGCTGGGGTTTCAAGATTTGTTTGAGGTTTCCGACGTCTTAGGGTTTTGGGGCGTGATAGACTTCTTGCTCTGCGTTTCGGGTTTGGGGTGTCATGGTTGTTGGTTCTATGGTTTTGTACCTGGTTTTGGTGTTCGAGGGTTTGAGGTGCCAGAGCCGCGGCCACCTAAACAAGTGGTTTTTGGCTTCTTGATGAGGATTGAGGGGTTTTGAGTTCATGGTTTAGGCGTCTACTATGACAATGATATACCCCCAAACCCCCAGCCTAATTATGAAGGCACTTGCACACTTTTGTGATTTTGGGGGTGTCCGGCTCGTCTTAGGACATGAATCACGGTATTGTTGCTCTATGGTTTAGCATTTGTAGTATGGGGTTGTGAGTCTACAGGGTACCACATAAGTCAATCATGGAACAATGGGTTCAGGAATACATATGGGGACAATAGAGAAGAGGAACCTCCTTGAACTGCGAGAACGTTGAGGCAGCGTCCAGACAAGCCCAGCAGGAGGACGTTCATGGACGATGGAGACCACCAATCCAGTCATGAAACCCAGCCTAGCTCCAACTCCCAAGCTTTATCAAGCCTGAACCCCAATCTCCCAAATCCATGAAGCCCTACAGCCCCCAGCCCCAAAACCCTAGACCCCAATCCGACAATGCCCCAACCGCAGGAAAACTAGTTTCAAGAGTCTCCCATGAGCAACCAGGTCCTGGGCGATGGCGAATGGAGCAACTACTTCGGGTTCAGGTTCCCCTACAAGATCACATACAGCACGACATCAAAGGCGGCTCTGCCATTTTCTGACATTCAATATGCAGCAAAACACTGTCGTAATTGTTGAGGCCCCAGGGTTAGCTCGGTTGGGCCGATGTCTTTGAGGTCAAACTCGTGAAGCCTGAAACATCCTAAAGCCCTTCGCTGGAACCTGGTTTCCTGGGACATACTCCAGCCTCAGGAATATGATGACTGCCAGGCCCTTGCGCCTTGGCCTGGAAGAGGAATGAAGTCTTTTGCTGACTGTTTTTTTGAGCTTGTCTTCCATTCTGGTAAAAACTTTCCCGCCCTCCCAACCCCGATCTACAACCGCAGCCCGAAAACGGCTGGCGCTCCACCCAGCAGTCCTCAAACGCAAAGCCTCCCTCACTCCCAGCCAAGGTCTATTCTGAGCTGGTGGAGGACAACAACAAGAACGGCCCACTACTGGAGGAAAGAGCCCTGGCAAATGCGCATGTCAACACGGCCAAGCAGTTCGCCGAGTACTTGGACGACAAGGCCCGAACTGCAGATTCTGGGGCGGGTTCAGTGTATGCTGTAGGTACCTATATTCTCCATTGTAGTTCCTTGTTTGTTGGATACCTTACAGGAGGTAATAACTTTTAACTTGTTAATTGAATGAAAGCATTACAGTGGAGATTACACCCCATGCTTCCAAGGACCTTATAATTAGGGCCCCAGACCCCTTAAGGACCCAATAACAAAGTCCCTGGAAGCCTAGGGTACGCGCAGGTATTCTGCCGGTTCTGAGCAGAGGCCCCTCGCTTGAGACCCCGGTTGTCGGGTTTGCCGCGGCACAGGTCGGTGAAAAGTGGCAGGACACGCCTTTCCCCAGTGAACTGGCAGGAATGACGACAGTAGGTGTCCAGGACAGACTCTTGGTTCCGCCCAGTTTGAGCTGTTGGTTGGCTTTCGTTGAGTTACCTCAGTCGAAGAATGTCTGAGAGAATCTTATGTCCTCTTCCAGGCAAGCTTGACGAAGATCCCACGCGCATACTACAGATCAGCGCAGCACACAGGTTAACAGGGTTGCTGTTAAGGAGTTTAATTCAGGTTACCACAATGGGGATATAGAGTGAACAATAGGGTTTCCTTGTTATAGTCGCCTAGTTTAAGACACTTAGCAGCAAACCAGCTGAGTTTTCGAGAACTGAGGACTTCTCGATGCACAGATCAACTTGCTTGGCCGTGCAGCCCTCGGGTCGAAGCAAGACAGAACACCAAGCATGTGGGCTCACTTCACATTCTCTGAGTGGGTGTATGACGACTTGAATGCCGACCATGTGGCGCAGAGCATCTGGCCAGATTTTGGGGACAGAGCGCGTTTGCTAGATCAAGTGCTTGACTCCTACAAGCTTTCACCAGCGACTCTGGGTCAGTTCTTGGAGTTTCTTTTTGGCAGATGTAGTGATTGCTTGCGGTTGGTATACCACAACTGCCAAAAGCATCCTTACTTGTTCCACTCTTGACAGCCGCTCCAGGAAACTCCAGAAGGTGTCCAACTTGCTGTCTTTGCTGAGATGCGCAGCACAGATGCGGTTTCCGATCTACCAGGCGAACTTCCACCGGAGGATCTCTGCCGTTGATGACCGCCAGAAAGCCCCTCCCCAAAAAAGCCTCAGCCTGAATACCTGGGCTCTGTGATCGATGCAGGCTGGTTATTGTAGGGGTTGGAAAAATTCCCGATGGTATCCATGTAATCATTGTATGATCCGACGATAATTCTTCAACAGGTCCAAAACCGTTTTGGAACCGCATATTTCGTGCTTCGGCCTTGGGGGCGGGTTTTGTCGGATCGACAGACAATTTAAAGACTCGGAGGGGTACCGTCGACGCAAAGCTCAGTTGCTGCTAAGTCAGGTATTGATCTGCAGTGGCCAAATCAACCCTATGCGTGGAATTTGATATCAGAGACCGCCCGATCACTTGGAAACTCCAGCAAGAATCGAAACCACTCCTCAAGCCAACTAATCTACACCCTAAACCCTAAGCCCTAAAAGGAACTACTATGGTTTAAACCCTAAACCCTCTTTTAGGAACTACTTTAAACCCTAAGCCCTAGAAAAATCAAGAGATCCGGGCAGGACTGAAATCATGAAGCATTGCTGGGAGGGAGATCGCCAGCCTTTCCCACCGGATGCTAAGCCATGCCCAAGTCTTCGCGTTTAGGGTCTCTACTATAGTATAGGGGCCTTTATAATTACCTGTACCATTTTGGGGTTCCTTCCAAAACTCTGTTCTCTCTCTTAAGGCCCCTATATTGGTCTTTTCTTATACCACTTGATAAGGGTTCTGCGAGGCCGGCTGGTGTTTTAGGCTTTGCTGGACTCTGGGGTTTGATTTGATGTTTTCTCTAGGACAGTTTAGCTGGCTTTCGATCCCTGGGGCTCTACGGCCTCATGTGGGTGGTTGTTAAAGTTAGGGTCCCTTTTTGGGTCCTCACTATAGTACGAGTACGGCACCTATTATTTAGGGTGCCAAAAAGGGGCCATAATTTTGACAACCACCCATGTATGAAGGCTTTTGGGTCCAAAAACCACCCTTTCTAAGGCTTTTGGGCTACTTTGAATCTCAGATAATGTAGGGTTGCCCTAAACCCCTAAACCCCTAAACCCTAAACCCCCCTAAACCCCCCTAAACCCCTGAACCCCCTAAATCCCCTAAGCACCCCAAACTGAGTGCATCAAGCCGAAGCCGAGAGTCTCCAGTCGAAAGCCGCGAGCACGCAGGATTTCGGGTTTGGGGGCTTAGGGTTTAGGCTTTGGGGGTTTGGGGTTTGGGGGTTTGGGGGTTTAGGGTTTAGGGTTTGGGGGTTTGGGGTTTGGGGGTTTAGGGTTTAGGGTTTAGGGGATAGGGCCTCCGACATTTGTTTTCAAGAGGGTTTCTTTGGGTGCACTATACTGCCGTGAGAGTAAGAAAAACACCGAGAAATGGCAGACTACATATTCAGGCATCAACGTCAATAAACACTGGACCCTGCATCTTCAACCTGAGCCACAAACTGCGTTCTCTAGCCCAAATACCAGCATCTTTTTGTTGAGAGGTAATGAATGTACCGAGACCTTCCAAAATCGGTTTTTCTTAAAGAATATACTTTCCTTTAACTTCATTGGGGGTCCTGCTACGAGATCCTGTCCTTAAGTCAGGGATCTAGGAAGATCGGGTAGACCTGTGACTTATAAACCCCCTAGTGACCTCGAAGGGATGACATCAGGGATCCTGATATTGAGGCCCGTAATGGAGGTGGGATTTTGAACACCCTCTACCTGCAAAGGGTGAGATATGGGGGTCCCGCTGCTAAGGCAGGTGAAGAGAACCTTCTTCTATGCATCCTGCATTGCGCCCATTAAAAAGACGGGGCGGGGCGGTTAACAATCAGTGGCCCAAGCCCGGCCCCTAAACCTCAAACCGTGACCCAAAACCCCTAATTCATACAGATGGGCCATTGCAGATTTTTGGGTCTGCGGTGGCTCTGTAGCAAAGGCTTAAGGATCTACCAAGATGCCCCAATTGTCCAAGTGCCTATTAATTGAGCCCCTTATTTGTGGAGGGTAGTTGCGGGATCTAGGTAGGGCTCAGGCATGCCCTTCAGTAGCTTGTGCTGAATTAGGGTTCAGGGTTTCGGGCTTATCAGTTTGGTGTTAGGGACTAATTAAGGGTTTAGAAAAAAACGGCCAGCCCTTACGAGTCAGATTCACAAGCATATTGCAGTATGCCCCGAAACCTCAGCACAAGCCAAGTCTTGTTATTCAGCATTCTCTGGGGCTGGGGTATCTGCAGCCCTGGTAAGCCCTGAGCCTTGTCTCAGGACTTGCCGCTGATGAGCCTCGATGATGTGGCAAGTAAGCGGACGAAGGTGGACCGGACCTGAAGTCGTAAGGCGTACTGCTTGAAGCAGCAGATAGGATCCGAGACGCATGACTGCAGACCCGAAACCTTACATCCGAAGCCCCACGTCGCGAAGCCCAAAACCCTCCAATAGGCTTCGTCTACACCGAGACGGCAACCCTCAAACGACGGCCGCAGATACAGCACGATGACGAAGTAAAGCTGGCATATGCTCTCTGCAAAAAGAAACCGATGGAAACCTGATCTAAACGCAGCACGTACTGGTCCTAATCGTCAGAATACGATTGGGCAGGGATTTGTTATAGTATTGTATATGTATGGGGCTTGCCAATCATTGAAAGTCTCACAGCCTGCCTCGCTACAAGATCTCCTGAGAGCTATCAAGCTTAAATTGGCCTAAACACCACCGCTGTAAACGCACGGGAATCCTTCACAACCCGAAAGCCAAAAGCTCGAAACCCCACTTCACCCTTGTAAACCCTTATTCGCCTTAACCGGCAATAGGATGCGACCAGCGCCCTGCAAACTGGCGGCCTACCAACCCAGGAAGAGACGCGGGGATTCTTCGGCAGCAAGCCAGCACACCTAGGGTCTGGGTTTAAGGTTAGATACATCTCCCAACAAGGCAAAGGTTCGCAACGACGCAACCAGCCAAGGCAAATGCACCCACCCATCTCCGAATGTGTGACACGCAAGTTCGGCCAACTTGTTGAAGACAACGCCCACTTTCCGCCAGTTTTCCGGTAAGTTCGATGAGTGTAGGATTATGGCCCCGCAGTTGGAAGACTATGAAGTTGTACGAAAAAGGCAAGAATGGAGTAAGAAGAATGGCAGCTACGTGTTGTTTGGATGCTATGCCGTTTGGCATTTTTGTGGGCTTTGCCTTCAGGGTCTCATGTAAGGTAATATCTCATGTGTACCAAGGATCTAGAAATCAGTAGTTCCGAAGTAAGGCGCTTCAGCTTGAACCGCTTCCGAGTATGGGTCTTGTACGTGCTAGTCAAGATGTGAGCAAGAAGCAAGCCAGCAACGAGATCTCATGTCGAAGCGATCCGAGCCATGCCGAAGGCTTCTCGAGGGTCCTCTTGCAAGTGGTGCTGCCGAAGGACGTGGCCAATGACCTGGCCTATGTCAGCACAGACTGGTTGGACAAGACGGGCCCTCCGCCCGGTCACCAGCATAAGGATTGGAAAGGTGTCAGTTTCATGGATGCCTACAAAGTGTTGAAAAACACTGCGAAAGGTGACAAGGTCACTGCACGGGTGCTCGTGAAGCGGGACTGGAGTCTTGCACCCCCTGACACGACAGAGCCCGTGAAGATCATTGCCACGTCCATGGTCTTTGCCGACCCGGATTTTATGGAGTTCGCCGCAAGCGTCCTCGAGGACATCCGAAACTACGTGCTGCAGCAGCCAATCAATCCCAACAAAAAGAAAGCGGTATGGCCATCGTGGGTCCTCGAGCTCAAGGTCGTCGTGCCGGTGCTGTGTCTTGGGCTCTTGGCTTGTCTCGGATACATCGGATACAGGCGCAGCAGTGCCCAGGCCCAGGCCAGAGACACTGCCACCAGGGATGTGGCTGGGTTGCTGTGAAGGAGTTTAATTCAAGTTACCAGAATGGGGATGTTCAGTAAATCTTAGGGTTTCCTTATGATAGTATATAACTTAATTTAAGCTCTAAGATCCTGAACAGCAACCCAGGTGGAGCTACGACTTGCCTGAGCCGATGTGGGTCCGAGAGGAAGTGAGGTAAGCGGCGGTTTGCCCATCAAGCCAGGAAAGAGTCTGTGCGCACCTGTGCGAAGAGCAGACCTGCAATAGAACTGTCAATCGCCCCAAATTGGAATGAATCACTCAACCATGTCTCACAGCCTCGCAGCCTTTCGGCTTGGAGGTCAAGAGAGGTTTAGAAGGGCCCCAAGGAAAGGGGCAGCCTCAGCTTCTGCCCGGGCCTCGGTGACGGTAGCTTGGCATCTAAGACCTCAGAGGCCTCCTCTGAGGCACGCCTTTTCAACTGTCATTATTAATACTATTATCACTATTATGATTATTATTACTATTGTTATTATTATGATGCAAAAAGGGATCCCTTCAGTCGAGCCGGATGCAAGGCGCAGACATGTCTGTGCATCACTGCCATGCTCCTGCACACATGTCTCTTTCGCAAAGCACAAGACCCGAAGCTTCGCGGGGACGTCAACGACGGCCGCCAGCACTGCAAGAAGAAGAAGAACAAGAAAGAGAACGCTAACGCTTCTATTCTAGCATCATCACAACGGCAGCCAGATCAGCAGCAGGCTGTAGATCTTCCCAATCCTCATCCCGCGAAACTCTGATCCCACAGCTGCAAGACCACGTCCTTCAGCATGCAACCGTGCAAACCTGGAGTCCGAATCCTTGAGCCTCATTCCCTGGACTCTTGCGAAGTGTGTCCTTTGCAACTTCAAGTCCGGTTTCCACACTCTGTTCTCTCGCTCCACCTTGATGATCGGGTTGGCCAGTACAGACTGCGCCGAGACCGCTTTGCCATGCACCAGCCGAGGAATATGTAGCGTTATGAGACCCAGTCCCTGCAACCCTTGGGATGGTCTGAAAACATTATTTGTGTGAGGTTTTGTGTGAGCGAGAGTGTGAGCGGAAGTGTGAGGCTGAGTGTGAGCGGGGATTCTGAGTGCGAGCGGAAGTGTGAGCGGGAGTGTGAGAGGGAGTGTGAGTGGGAGTGTGAGAGGCCCATTCATGCTCACACTTCCGCTCACACTCCCGCTCACACTTCCGCTCACACTTCCGCTCACACTCCCGCTCACACTCCCGCTCACACTTCCGCTCACACTTTTTGCTGTAAAATACAGCAAAAAGTGTGAGCGGGAGTGTGAGCGGGAGTGTGAGCGGGAGTGTGAGCGGAAGTGTGAGCGGAAGTGTGAGCGGGGGTGTGGGCGGGCGTGTGAGTCGCCCATTCATGCTCACACTTCCGCTCACACTCCCGCTCACACTTTCTGCTGTGTTTTACAGCAAGAATGTGTGAGCCGGAGTGTGAGCGGGAGTGTGAGCGGAAGTGTGAGCGGAAGTGTGAGCGGGAGTGTGAGAGGGAGTGTGAGCGGGATCCGGGGTGTGAGTGGCTCATTCATGCTCACGCTTCCGCTCACACTCCCGCTCACACTTTTTGCTGTGTTTTACAGGAAGAATGTGTGAGCGGCAGTGTGAAAGGGAGTGTGAGCGGGATCCGGAGTGTGAGTGGCCCATTCATGGTCAGTCACACTTTCGCTCACACTCAACCTCACACTTCCCGATGGGCTGGAAATCCATGCTCACACGTTCGCTCACACTTTCGCTCACACTCAACCTCACACTCAAACTCACGAAATAAACATTTCCTGGAATCCAAGCACTTGCAGGGTACCGGGTGTCACAAATGTAGCGCGGTTGTTCTGGCTAATTGGAAGTGTGTCTGAGACGGGTTCGATCTCAGTTTCTAAGCTGCATGAAGTATAGGAAGTTGCCATGGGCACACTCTGCAACTGGAACTAGAGCCTTAGTCCCTTAACCCATGCATCATGTCTCTATAGGCAACAATGCTGCAGCGCCTGGCGGCGAGACCTATGCGCTTGGTCTTACGCTCCTCGAGGCGTCTGAGCGTACCTCAATCTCCCCTCAAAGTCCGATTCGTTTCATTAACGGCCTTAAACCGTCAGGTATCCCTGAGCTTCCTCGCAACTTCCGACAGAAGCCTTTTCCCGCGAGGCTTCATGGCAGTATGGTCTCTATCCAGCGCTACACTGCTCCTGTCTTTCCAGCCGCCAGCAGAAAATCTCTGTGCCCGGTGCAGGCAAGCTTCATTTTTGAGCATGAGCGAGATTCGGTTCCTCGTTAATATCATTAAAACCAGTAAGATGGCTCAATGATTGGGCGCCTCTTTGATTAAGCGTACATATCTAGCTTTCCACAGCTTTTCGCAGGAATCTGCAAGAAACTAAGCAAAACCTACGACAAGCTAAGAGAAGCTAAGAGAAGCTAAGAGAAACTAAGAGAAACTAAGATAAGCTACGGGTTTCCTGTATTGAAGTATGTCCTGGGCTGGGAAGCTACGGATTTCCTGTGGTACAGTGTGCCCTTGAAGGGCCTGTAACAAGTGAAGACAAAGCAGGAAACTACAGGTGGGTGTTATTTGTTCCTAGCAGTCGGAGGCGGGCTTTGACTTCTGTTTGTGCCGGCAATCCACTGCCGATCCGTCGGCCATAGCGCCTAAATGCATTTGTTTCAGGAGGTTCTTTGGCTCAGACCCCGAACTGCTAATATTTTCGTACGATCGGAACCCGCTCTTCTAGGCAAGGCTACCAAAAGCTAGACAAAGCTAGAACAAGCTAGAAAAGGCTAGCGAAAGCTAGAAAAAGCTAGAAAAGGCTAGCGAAAGCTAGATAAAGCTAGAAAAAGCTAGATTTTTCCTGGGTTCCGGGCAAGCCCCAGGGCCAGAGTATCAGAGGAGACCGGGATTTCACTAAAGGAATATCACAGAACACCACGGAGTATCACAGAATACGGGTTGTCACTAAAAGACTTGAATGCAAAGGCACATACCAGAATACCTGGTTCTCAGCAAAGGAATGTCACAGAATACCAGGTTTGCAGCGGAGGAGCTATCTAGCTCCCTTTACTCGTGCTCCGAGCCCAAAGAGGGACCCCATCATGGAGCCATCTTATTGGTATTCCAGATAATATTTAACCTTATTCTAATTGTTCAGGCCCCTATGATAATCATTCATAGGGCTGTGGTCCATGAACTCCAGCTCTTGTATTCCTTCTCCTCCCGTCTTATTGGAGAATACTGTACTATGCACATCGCGATCATACTTTGATCGATGCGCAATTTTGTGCACTGGACATGGTTGTTTGCAGTGCTGTCCAAGTAAGAGCACTTCTACATCTTCTTGCTCTCATTATTCTGAGCATGTTGCGGATTCTTTAGTGCTCTTATGTCGGGGCCGTTGCAACAGTCTTGCACCTGATCTATGCTCATGTCTCTCTCTCCCTCCCTCTCAACGTTTGTTCTCGTACGTGTCCCAAGTTGTGGTTGTGTCGATTGCGATTTGCTGTCCGATCTTGTATAAATAGATACATGTGTAATGCATGGTTGGGTGGTTCTCTGTCACACAGGGTCCTCTGTTAGAAATGATATTCGGTCGTTAACACAGGGTGTTCTGTTGCACAGTGTCTTGTGTTACACAGGATCCTGTGTTGCACAGGTTATTCTGTCAGACATGTCTTTTGTTGCAAAATTGAAGCAAGCATGCCAAGACCACTGGATGTATGTCTATATGTATATATATATATGTGTGTCTGTAGTTACTCACACAAAGGCCAATCTATCTGTCTGTGTATTTGTCTGTTTATCTATCTGTCCATCTACCTGTCTATCGGTCTATCTGTCCAAGTCTATCTAGCTATCTATCTGCCTATCCTCCTATCTATGTACATTGCACGCATATCTGTGTACAATATATACATATGTTTACATATGTTTCATTAGCATGCACATGCTATCTACCTCAAATCGTGACATTGGGTCATTCGGTCATGCGCCAGGTAAGGCGGTTCAGCAACGTCGAGATTCCCAGCAGCATTGGTTTTGTGGTCGAACTGTATCTGGGCTTTGCCACTCAAAGAATCTAACCAATCCTGGGACGCAATGACGAAACAAACCTCTAGAGTCCGGACCCTCAGCCTGCATAGAACTAAGGCCCAGGCAGACTGATCTCGAGTGGTCTAGGGTGACGGGCCGGCAGTACAGGGCTTGGGTCGGGATGCACGGGATTTAGCATCGGTTGCCTTGCGCTATAAGCCTGCACTTGCTCGAGACCCCAAAGGCGCAATGGACGACTCAAAGACTACATGTTGAACCCCCCGCCAAATGAAAACAACCACAATATCGTAATTTCACTGAGGATTAAGACTCCCGATTTCGGTGCCGAGAGCATCACCGAGGGTACGCTCATGGAATGGCAGCAGCTTGGCCGCGCATGCCCGATGGAAACACACAGCCCTTACGCTTCAAGCCATCCCTGACCTTAACCGCATAACCCTAAGCCCTATAAACCGTAAGCCCTATAAGTCCTATAAGCCAACCGCATAGTTAAACCCTACAAGCCCTAAACCTTACAAACCCTACAAGCCCTGAGCCCCATAAACTCTCTAAGCCCTAACCTTTCGGAGCACTAAAGGCGTGAACTTTGACATCCTCAGCCCCCAGTGCCTTGCCGCTTCAACCGCTCCAATCCAAAGCCTTCTCATATGGGCTTTGGGTTTAGGGTTCAGGGTTTGGGGTAGCTCCTTGGAGTTCGGGGTCTAGGGGAATTTCATGCACCTGCCCTCTTGGGGTGTATAACGTACACTACCCGAAAATTCGAAAGCTTGTTGTCCTACCCAGGTACTAGGATTGTGGGGGTAAGGCTGGGGATAGGTAGTTCAGGCCCCTGTATGGAAGATTTCTGCGCACCGGAGCTCTGCAGGAAGCCTTGATCTAAAGCATTGAGACCGGTGAGGGAGCACATCCGAGCTTATGAGCCGGGTTAAGTGCCCAGGCTTAGGGCATGGAGCACGAGCTTTCGGAATTAAGGCACACCCCGTTCGGCTCCTCTAATCTTTTAGCTCATCAAACCATGGGCCCCGAACCCCCAGCCGGAAAATGCAGGATCCGTTAACCCTAAACTTCAACCACTAACTTAGAGTTCAATTCTGGTCTGTGAACCCTAGACAAGCTTCAATCTCCGAATCAAACGGAAGCGACACATTCGGGTGAATGGAGCTTGCCGGATCGCATAGGTTCGCCGCTTTTGGGCTTTGGGGTCGTGGGTTTGGGCTCCGGGGGTGTATGGCTTACGGTAGAGGCTTTAAGGGAATAATTAGTGGGCTAATATAGGGGCCTTGATAATTACCCCTATTATTGTTGGGGGGCTCCTGAGTATAAGTATAGCATTATGGCCCCAAAACCCTATTCAAACCATTAAGGCCCCCAAATTATAGTACCGTACTATAGATCCCTTATAATAACCCCTATAGACCCCTTTAAAACGGAACCCTATTCTAACTATTAAGGCCCCTATATTGTGACATCCAAGGAAGAAGGCGGGCGACTTCTGCGCTAAAGGTGAGATCCTGGCGGTGATCGAGACAGACAAGGTGAGCACCGAGGCCTTTTTTGGGGGGCTCCCAGGGCCCTTTTAGCTATAGTGCTTGGATTTTTGATCATTTTTTGCTGGGAGTGCAGGGGGATTTTTCGCAGCCACCCTATCTCTGAGTAGAAGGAACATTTGGTTAAGCGGAACCACTAGATCCTGCAGCTTTCGCAGGTGAAGGCGCCCGACAACGGCGTCCTTGAGAAGATTGTGGCTCAAGCTGATGAAACAGCTGCTTGGCTCAATGCAGTGTGGGCCTCGCAGGGTTTGCAGTCTACTTCTCGGTGGCACAGCTGCTGAAGGTTTTCGTAGCAGGCTCTGGGTTTCGGGAAATATGAGATATCCTGAAAGAGTTGCGTTTTGTCATCTCCGGATTTGGTGGTGAGATTTCAATAATTCTGACTTCTGCGTGGACCTCGGATGAGCTCTGTACGCGTCTCGGTCTCCGAAGATTCTGATGCATGCCCTCTATCAGTTAGGCAGAAGTTGATAGTCTTAAAGTATCAAACCACGAAGCTTGTCCTGCCAACCACCAGGTTCAGAAAGATCAGCTGCTGGCTGTCTTCAAGCCAGGAGGCTGGCTCGTGTCATGGTCGTGCCATCAAAAAGCTTTCTTGGTGCAGCAATCGCAGTTGGCTTCTGGCAAGGAATCTGCTTGACAGTGCGTAGATTTACACGTGTTTTGCTGTCAGGTGAACCGCCTCCTAAAGCAGCCAAAGCTCCCGCGGCGGCGCCCGCCTCGCCGGCCGCTGTCCCAGCAGCACCGGCGGCTGCCCCGGCTGCCGCCCCGGCCGCCCCGGCTGCAGCTCCTGCAGCTCCGAAGGTGGGCATGGGTGCTAGAAAGTTCGGTAACTTTTTGACATGCAGCTTCGAAGCTTTTTCTCGAGAATCAGCCCTGACAACCACGGCTGCGATCCGTGCTTGAAGTCACATGATCCTGCAGACGTACCGCAATCAGAGCCCTAATTCGCAAAACTGATTGAACAGCCAGTGCCTCGCTGCCTTCCACGGTGATCACGGCCAGCAAGCACAACTCCAAAGCAGGCAGCGGCAGCGCCCACGCCGAAAGCGGCTCCAAAGCCCAGCGGGCGCCTTCTCCCGCAGTTTCGGAAGGTTTGCAGTTTACAGTCTGGTACTTGTACACCCTGGTGTCAGCCCGGAACATAGATCGTATTTTGTTTCGCTGATATACTGTTACCCCTCCAAAAGCACCGCCATCGCCAGTGCCGCCAGTACCTATGAAGAGAGTTCTGAAAAACCGAAAGGGGTCTAGGACGTACTATATGGCTTGGGGTACGGCTGCTCACAATCGGATCGATGGGCCGCCACCCTTCTGTTTCGAGGCTTCAAGACTGAGGTCTGAGTCTCCAAGGCAAAGAGACATTGGACAGCAACCATCGCCTAATCTCAGCCATTATATGCAAAGACCCAACCTGCAAGACGACTACGGGTGCCCGCGCCAGGAAGGCTGGGCCCCCTGTCGAGGGCTGGTGGATGGGCAGCTGGCGAAAGCACTGGTATCCCTGAGGGAGCCATCTGCAGGGTGCGTTTCAACCTCCTGGGCGCAAAAGAGATTGTCGTATAAGCTCACCTACGACAAAGAGCACCGCAAGGACCATAAGCCCCACTCCCTTTTCTCCTATCACAGCACTAGCAACAGCAGTCGCAGTACAGTCAAGCGTTGCTTAAAATCTGAAAGCGAGCAGGAGCAGGAACAACAACAGCAGCAACAGCAACCATAACACCAGCTACTACTACTACTACTACTACTACTACTACTACTACTACTACTACTACTACTACTACCACAGCGACGACGATTACTGCTGCTATTGCTACTACTGCAATGCTACTACTGCTTAATGCTTATGCTACTGCGACTGCCACTGCGACTGCAACTGCGCCTGCCACTGCTACTGCTGGTCCTACTGCTACTCCTGCTGCCACTGCTACTGCTGCTGCTAATGCTACTTACTACTACTACTACTACTACTACTACTACTACTACTACTACTACTACTACTACTCCTGCTACTACTACTACTACTACTACTACTACTACTACTACTACTACTACTACCACGACTACTACTACTACTACTACTACTACTACTACTACTACTACTACTACTACTACTCCTGCTACTACTACTACTACTACTGCCACTGCTGCCACTGCTGCCACTGCTACTGCGACCGTTATTGCTACTGTTACTGCTGCTACGACTACGACGACGACGACGACTACCTCTACCACTACTTCTACTACTACTGCTACTACTACTGCTACTACAACAACTACAACTTCTGTGGTTACTACTACGACGGCGACTGCGACTGCGACTACGACTGGCTCCGACTCCGACTACGACTGCGACGACGACTTCTTCAATGAAGGCGACGATGCTTAATTCCTAGTATTGCGACTACTACTTCGACACCTACTCTTGCTCTTACTCCTACTGTGATCCTACTCCTACCCCTGCTGCTGACCACTACTGTTGCTTGTGACGACGCCGACGATCACCACCCAACCGTCTTTCTGATCACGTTGGCCTGTTTCATTCTGTTGGCTTTGTCGACATCGTCACAGTCATCCGCACCATCTACACAATCTATGTCATCATCGTCATCATAGCCACCATCGTCCAACTCGTCATCAAAATCGTCCGCCAATCTGCTTGATTTGTCTTCATCACCTTCCATGGGCTCTCACCACAGGCCAGGTTAGATAGTCACCACCAGTCGTCATCATCATCATCATCATCGTCGTCGTCATCATCACCAGCATCACCGTCATCACCATAATCGTCATCATCACCTCTAGGCCGTTAGCTAATCATCATCGTCGTCAGAACCGCATGACTCTTGCTTATTATATTCATCATCATAATCACCATTGTCCACGTCAATATCATCCTCATCATCATCGTCAACATCGTCAACATCGTCAACATCGTCATCCTCATCCTCATCCTCATCCTCATCCTCTCCCTCATCCTCCTCATCATCGTCGTCATCATCGTCCTTCACCCATCATCATCCCCATCCTCATCGTACTCATCGTCCTCCTCATCCTCATCAGCATCAGGACCACTATCCAAAATATTTCTTACCACAACCTTGCTCTTCTGCACTACCGATACCGAGCTTAAGTTTGAAGCCCCCTGAAACCGTTGAGACGCACCCTCTTTCCAACGTTCCACCCAGCTGAGCGACAGGCTGTGAACAGCTTGGGGTGCACGGGCAGCAGTGCAGGATGTAGGATATTCTGCGCTTTGTAGTCAGGGTTGCTGAGTAGGTTCATCAAATCCAGAATTTGGAGGTTCTTGAGTGCAGCCATGGTGGCTGCAAAATGGTATACTGTGGCTACGAGATTCTCCCATACAAAGCTCTCAGACATTTTGGAGGCTTAGCAAAGCATTTGGCTGGATACACATCTGAGACATGCTGGTGTCTGGTGCCGTGCCTGATCTAAGATGTGGCTTGGAGCACCTTCCGACGATCTGCTTGTTGCTATCTTATCAGAACCCTCTAACAAGCAGCTGCAGTCTCCCTTAAAAGGCCGGCGAATGTGGCAACATCCTGCTGACAGCACTCTGCCCCATGTCTCACGGCTCTCCAAATCTCAGAACATATGTTTCAAGCATGAAGTTCGAGCAATCCATAGTCAAGTGAACTTAGTCCAAGTATTCGCTATGTTGGGTCCGGCTACGCTTGGGGACAGCCTGTCCTGGCTGGTATCCACTGTATTCAGATCGATTCAAGCCCGCGATCGACAATGCGAGATCTCCAAAGTGTTTCTGGGTGCATGGAGCTCAGGCGGTGCGTGGTTGGTTAGGTTGTGCAGCAGTCTATAATTGCTCTCATTTGTTGAAGACGTGTAGTATCAGACATGTTACCATTGTGCGCTTTGCGACTTCACCCAATTGCTACCATGTCTTCTTCCTCCCACTACCATTCAACTCACAGCATCTTGCCCGGCAGTTGTCTCATCGGCTTGAGTTCTTGACTGTTGCCTGCCGCTGCAGAGGCTTGCAGCTGCACCTGCCTAGCCTGTTACCCCTTCCCCTAACCCAAACCCCTAAACCCTAAACCCCTAAAGCCTAAACCCCGGAACCCCGAAAGAGCCGACAAGAGGCCGATCGAAGACTCTGGCTGCGATAGTGATGATCTCAACTCGTAAGGCTTAGATGTCTTCATTCGATGTTCTATGCCAGAGCTCTCAGCCACGAGTTTTTCGCGACCCTCTAAAGCCCCACCTTCCCAGTTTTCAAGCCTTTAAGCCCTCAGCCCTACATCCTTGCACCGTCGGGCGGCCGCCTCCATGTCCTCATGCAGAGACTATGGGCAGGGGCCCCGGTGATGCGGCACTTCCAGGTTTATGTGATGAGATGCTGCAAGCAGGCTTATGAGGTTGTTGAGATGGTTTAGGCTGCAGCAGGCTTTGAATTTGAGGTCATGGGTGTTTGTGAACATCGCATGGTGGGTTCCCTACTTTTCTTGATTCAGGGTTGATCAGGGATAATTAAGGTTGAGTGTATGTTGTGTGCTGGCAGGGTTTAGTGGCGTTTGAAGCTCATATGACATAATTTTAGTACCCGCGCGTGCGCCAAAACTTTCAAGCATCACAAGTTCGCGGCATATGCTTGCACCTGCACATCGCATCGAAGACTCCAACCCCTCCCTCGCGGTTGGCATTTTTGGGGCGGACCCGATAGTTGTACAGTTTGCGGATTTGCCAGAAGTGTGCCGGGCCACATTGAGTGGATCGGTGCATGGAGTGGGGTGTAGGGCCAAGTGGACGGACTCCGGCAGCCAGAGTGGCATCGCCGTTTCAGCTTTGGGGATCATAAATCTTTTGCCTGCTGGAGTTTGGGATGCGGTTCTGCCGTCGCAACTGTTTTCCCGCCAGACGCAACCCACAAGGCGTTGACCAACGCCCCACGCCGAGTATGTATGTCTGTATGTAGCATAATGTGACAGACATTAAAACCCAACTATCTGACGATCTATCTATCTAGCTATCTACCTACCTATGTGTGTACGTTGACATATATATATATATATGTACACACATAGTACAGTATGCACATATATATATATATATATATAAACGATGTCTATTTCTAGTTCTATATACATATGTAGCCCGCATTCAGCACGAAACGCTGACAAGGCCGATACGCACTTCCCGGCGGGAGAGTCGCAGTTGGTCGGGCGACCTGGGTTGAGGTTGAGGGTTTAGGGCCAGGGTTTCAGGTTTAGGTTTTCAGGCTTAGGGTTCAGGGAGTACTGAGGGGGGTTTGGCTGCAAATGGCGGCTCGCAGGAGGGCGTCAGGTTTGAGCTATTTGGTGCCATGATCTTGGCCTTGGTGATTTTGAGCATATCATGCGGGCTTCTGTGGAGATATTCGTTTTTGCGCTGCTGTAGCTGCCGTCTGGTCTATCGTTGTTGGGCTGTCAATTGTTGCTATCGTGCGATATCCAGAATTAAGTCTCACAGCTATCTTCGAATTTTTCCCAGGCACGGTGATACCTGGTATAAGTGGTGTCGTTCTTATTGGTGGTATTCTGTTCTCTTCTTTCATGTGTTTGTCGGCGTTGCTAGTGCAGTAGAGGGAGCTGTCGTGGAGCAGTAGCAATAAACATCATAAGTAGTAGTAGTAGTAGTCGTCGTCGTCGTCGTCGTCGTCCGCGTCCTTCGTCGTGGTCGTCCTCGTCGTCGTCGTCGTCGTAGCAACGCTGTTAGTAGTAGTTGACGTCGTCGTCGTGGTTCGGCATTGGGCTTTTTGCCTGCCGTACATACGCAAGCAGTCGTAGGACCGAAGAGTTTTTTGTGTGATTCGCTTTCTGTACAGGGGTTGTCTAAAACTAGCATCCCTTCTTGGGGCCCTTGCTGCAGCTGAAGTATTTGACGAGCAGGATGAACACCTTGATTAAGTCCAAAACCTCGAACCCCACCCTACACCCTGAGCTTCCGAACCCAAATTTGGAGCAACTTGGGCAGCCCTTCAACCCACTTTGGCAAACCCAGAAGCCCGAAGCTCTGCAGTCCTTGAGCAATAGAGCCGCCGACACTTCAACCCAAAACCCGATATTGGGCGGGTGTGGTATCTTGCACTATGATATTGCATTGTTTCTTGGTACCTTACAGTCTCTTACGTTGGTATTATATAAATATATACACACACACACAGTCTTACGTGCTACAGTATATGTCTACACACACATACCGAGTGTACATATGCATGCATATATATATATATATATACATATATATATATGTATATATATATACGTACATATACGTACATATACGTGTATATATATATATATATATACTGTATGTTCATTTCCAAGGCATTAAAAGGACTTAGCACCCTAATTAAAGCATGCAGGCGGCAGTATGCACTCATGGTGGACTTAGACCGACCATGGCGCAGAAATCTGCCGGAAGGGGAAAGGCAGATCGAGATTTGCCCAGCCAGGGCTTCAAAGCAAATGCCCGAAAAGCTGTTTATCATTGCATCATTATCATTTTTATATGGCTATCATTATTAATATATTGTCATTATTATTATTGTTATGCTTATTATAGTATTGCTATTATTGTCTCAATCCAGCCACACATCCCTCCACAAGACCGCAAGACCAAGCTACAGTGTATGCACGTCAGGTGCACGCTTTACCAGTGTGTCTCAGCAGAAGCAGGGTACGTGCGAGTGCAGATCAGAACGAAGATTGCCCTCAACCTGTATCAACAAACGCCACGTTTTTCAAGCCTGAGGTTCCTGCAAGATGGCGTTTTGTTGCGTTCCAGTCGCCTTCAACCGTGCCATATCCGACACCACCATGATCACACACGAAGCTAAGGGCCACGCGACCATCCGACAGAATTCGTGCTGCCGTTTTCCAGTCGGCCACTCTGACATGCTTGGTATACATCTGAAACTTTGGCTGATTCCGCGCAGACCCACCAAAGGATGATGCTGTAGAGTTTGCCTGTTGTTGTTCTCCGTGAATGACATGCCAGACCAGTGTCAAAGGACGGAAACAGACCTGGCCTCCGCATCCGGCAACATGTTCATGCCACCCTCAGTTGCAAATCGCTGCTGCCTTGGCAAAGGCTCCCATGCCCACTGCCACTGCGAGGCAAATCCGACATCATCATGCAACGTAGTGAAGAGTGGCATACCAGGCAGCAGCTTCCCATTATCCAAACATTGCTCATAAAAACTCTCTGCTCAGTGCCAAACGTGTTCCCGTGCGGGCTATCGCAAAGCACAGCCGCCATCCGATTGGTTTCGGAAATCTCGTCACCATCACAAACCGACAGCGATTGTATAAGGCCACCATAGTCAGCGGCCGAAGCCTCGCGGTGCGGTCGACTGAGGTCGGCATGACGCTCATGCCAGCTTGAGTTGTCCAGCATTGCCGACAAAGAGGCTCCCATGCTCCATGCCACGGTGCAGCGACACCAACATGACTATGCATCGTAGTGGAAAGTGGCAATCCATGCCGCCGCCCATCGAAAGCATCCAGCCATTGCTCATGGATGCCCTTTTGCTCAGTGCCAAAAGCATTCCCATCTGGGCTGTCGATAAGCACATCCGCCCTTCGATTGGTTTCAGAAGGTTCTTCACTAGCACAGACCGTCATCAGCGACTCCACCAGCCCGTCAAAGTCGGCGACCGCAGCCGGTCGCTCAGGAGTTTCCTCGCCTCTCAAACGGCAAGTACAAAAGTCATCATAAGCCGGCCAGTCACACGTTGCTGCCATAGCTCGGCCAGCACTTGCATCCGCAAAGCTCGCATGTGCCAGATTTGTGGGAGTCGTGGGGCGCCATTGCGCAGGGGTCTGTGGTCCTGGCTATTCGCCTGCATCTACAGGGCGGTTGATCCGAGACCCCATATATATATATACATATGTATGTATGTATGTATGTATGTATGTATGTATATATACAAACAAATAAATATTTGTACACATGAATCATGCATGCATGTATGTACGTATTTATGCATGTATGTAAGTACTAATGTAATGTATTGTAACGTCATGTCATATTATGTATGTATGTATTAATGTCTTAATGTCTGAATGTCTTAATGTATTAATGTATGAATCCATTAATGTATGATTGTATGAATGTATGAGTGCATTAATGTATTAATGTATTAATGCGTAACCTAATACAGTGTAGTGTACTGTACTGCAATGTAACGCAATCTAATGCGATGTCTGCATGTGTGTGTATGTATGTATGTATGTATGTATACTATACCAAGACTCCATCAGGTCGTTTCCAAAAAGAAGGTGGCAGAGGCCGAGCGCGGTATTGACTGTGGAAATTTGGGAGGACAATGGTGACTGTGGAAATTTGGGAGGACAATGGTGACTGTGGAAATTTGGGAGGACAATGGGTTTTGGGGTTATGGTCTTGTGGTCATATGAACCTGTATCGCTTTTAGGGTTTGGGGTTTCGAGTTCTGGGTCCTCTTCAATGAGCACCGGAAGCAGTTCAGACAAGCACTGGTGATGATAAACAAAATTCGGAGTGATAGTCACGCTTGTGCCGGTGTTCAGCTGTTCTTTCTGACGAAGTCGTGCTCGCATTTACCTGCGCACCCGGAATGAAGCCTTCAACCTGTAACCTTGCACGTAAACTCACGCACTGGCTCTAAATTTAATCCGAAAGACTGATCCTGCAGGAAGGGTTCTTCGGATTTATCACCGGCACTCCGACCGAAATCACAGTCACGACAAGACCTGTGGTCTGCGTGCTGTGGGCAAAAACATCACCCTGAGTCCAAGCGTCTCCAAACCCCAGACCCTAAACTCCTAAACCCTGCAGAGGTCAAGGACTTCCTTACCGCTCCTGGTGGCCGCAGGCCCTAGGGGTCGTGGTAAATATAGGAGTCGAAACAATTTCTGAGTATCCCCAGGCGCATTGTTTTCCGAATTGGATCCGTGCAACCGAGCAGCTGCCTCTTGAAGCCGAGAGGCTTGGGGTCTCATAAACTCTGGCATGCGTGCGCGAGGGACTCGTGGGCTCCGGATTGAAGTCCATCCGGAAGAAGCAGTCACAGAAGCCCAAAATCCAAGCCCTTAGATACACCTGCAACCTCAGGCTACCACTCCTCGAGCGGAAGTACGAAGTCTCGCGAATCCGACCTCGAACCCCGGAACTCTGAACCTAAATCCTCAAAAACCTTCCATCCCAACTGCAAGAAAAAAACCGGGCAAGCAGGCTGCTCCTGCTCAAAGGCCCTGCTGGCTGCGGCAAGGCGGGCCGGTACTCCGAGAGAGGCCCTAAGCCCTGAAGCGGTATATCCCAAAACCCCGAAATCCTCTATAGTACTCCGATATGGGAGTTTCCGAAATTAGGGGTACCTTATTTTGGGTTCCTAATAATAGAGATCCTATTAGTTAGGGTACTTTTTGGGGGTCCCACATTTTCGGAAACTCCGATATAGGTCTCTGATGCACCTGAAACTCTGGCCTAAACGCCGAACGACATCAAAGCTGCTATAAGACTCAACGAAACCCTGGCAAACATCTTGCAAAAATGCAACGCGCCCCTGTAAACTCTTTCTGAACCGAGTGCCCCGAAGCCTCAGACCCGAAGATCTAATCCCCAGAGTCTGTAAACAGCCCTGAGCGCTCAAAGTATACACCTGAGGCCCAAACATGAACCCAAACCGCAAAGATGCAAAAGATAAGCCCTTTAGCTCAAAGGCTCAAAAGCCGGAAGCCCTAAACCCTCGCTGTACATCTAGAGCTATGTATCTTTAAACCTTTGTGGTGCAGTCTCCCGATTTTGCTCGTGGGTCCTAAGTCTTTTAAACCCGAAAACCCTACTGTACTTCCTAGATCCTAAACCCTGGCGGGTCGTGGGGCTTCGCCAGGCCACGCCGCGCCAGGGAATCCAAAACTCAAAACCCACAACCGAAAATCCCAAATCCAAGACCCAAAACCGGAACCCAAATTCCAATATCCAGAAATCCGACACTCCAAATCTGAAATCTGCGGGCCTTGCTTCTCGGAGCTGTTTGAAAGTGGCCTTGCGGATCGCCGGCTCTAGCCCATCTTAAACTCCGAAGCTGACTGGTGAGCTGCTAAACCCCGAAACCTTGAAACTTTACCACTAAACCTTACCCTAAACTCTAAACCTTAAACCCTAAACCCTAAACCCTAGATCGTAACCCTAAACCTCCAAAGAAAACAAAAAGAACATCCCGAGGCATCGGTCCTCCGAGCGCTCTGCGCCGACCTGGGGTTCGAGCTGGTGCCGGAGGGGGGGTGGGGGGTTTGGGGGGTTGGGGTTTTAAAGGGTTTGGGGTTATGGGATTCCGGGTTTTAGGGTTAAGGGCTTGCGGTGTAGGGTTTTTAGGATTTAGGGCTTTAGGGTTTAGGGTTTCGGATTTGGGGTTTGGGGTTTAAGGTTCTGTAAGGGAAGGTTTGCTGCTTTCGGGTCTATTGAGAGTTCTTTTTTGGGGGGTTTAGGGTTCGCTAACGTCTAGCAGATGCAGAGCAAATTCCGGTCAAAGTAACTTTCTCATAGTGGTGTTTATGCACGTGGGGGAGAGAACAGCACCTGCTTTCTGCTTCTTCTTCTTCTTGTGCGTGTGTGTGTGTGTGTGTGTGTGAATCCCTGATATCAAAGGGCGATTCTTGGTCAAAAAAGCAGGGGGCCTGAGGCTCACAGACAGGACTCAGGCCAACGAAGACGCCTGTCTGCTGAGGGTGATATGATCCTGGGACGCTGGGATCACGTACCTGCAAGTGATCATGGCAAGGGGCTAAGCCAAGAACCCCGACACGAATCCCGAAAATTCCTGAAGTAACGATCTAGCTACTCCCACCATGGAGTTTGCAAGTGTGTGTGAGTGTGTGTGGGGGCGTGATGACGTTCGGTGCTTGAAGATGCACTGTGCTAGTCTTCCTGTTGCAGTGTTGCAGTTCAACATGGTGATGTTTGCATGGTGACGAATGATATCTGTTCTCGGCGCCTGCCACTGAAAACAAGCCTCTTGGGTTTGGTGATGGCATGCGTTTTGTGTTTCATATCATGCCATGTTACATCATCACATGTCTTTCATGTCAGGGTGTATCACATCATATCCTGTCATACCATGTCACATCATGTCATGTCATGTCATCTCCTTTTACTTCAGATCATTTCACACCACGCGACTTGTTGCTTCAGTACATTCTGAATCCTATCTTAAGGCCAGTTTCATGTGACAGGAGTTGTGATTTCGGAATTTTCGCCAATGCTACTGTCAATCTGCTACTTAGGTACTTCCCGCCTAACAAACTGACCTTGCCGTAAGCGTGACCAGCGTGTTCCAAACTCCAGTTTTTCAGCATTTCCAATCTGTTTGATGTGGCAGGCGCTGTAGAATCAATGTAAACTTCCTTTTGGAAGGGCACCATTATCCCCCACTTTTTATGACTTGTTTGTTCCTAAAGTGCCTGGAATTTTGCTTCTTACTACACAATGAACAGTCGAGTATTTCAAGCAAGTTTTGCCTGGGGGCTGGGAGATTTTGATTGGGCTTCTGCCTTTGGGGGTGGTCTGCTGTCGGATTTGGTTTCGAAAATTATTTTGGCTCCCCTGAAACAGAGGCAGAGGCTCTTCTGTAATTAGGCAGTGAGCTGAAATCGTGCGCGGGATGCAGAGTGTCGGCGCGAAACATCAGAAGGACATCAAGCTCGCTGATCTTGTAGAGAGAAAGCTGAGATGCTGAGGCATATCAAACACGATAATGACATACACATGTACTGTACTATGTATGCCCTATACCGCTCATGTTTCAGTACCATTAGTGCTATCATGTCAGTATTACCGTTATAAATATAACTAATGTAGTTTATTTTTGAGGTTTGTTTGTAGATGTGTAGATGTCATCGTTTTTGTTGCTATCATCATCACCGCCCTGATCATTATCATGATGATCATCATCATCATCTTTAGTAAGGTTGTGCTACTACCAAACTCCTCTATACCATACTGCGCTATTCCCCGAAGCCTCCATACTGGGGGCTTCGCCCTCGCATGTTTTGCAGGTAGAGTGGAGCCCCGCCTCCGGCAAGTCGGTGCGAGACCTCCTTTGAGGTTAGGTGTAGGGTTATATATATATATATATATATATAAGGGGTCTCTAAAGTTTACCAATGGTTACTATAAGGGTTGCCATCAAGGTTCAAAGCTGCAAAGAAGTTGAGGCTTTGGCGGTTTGGGATTCTTCGTAGATTGTGGCTGAAGCTTAAGTCCTTTTTTGGGGTTTCGGAACTTGGGGCTTCCGAGTTTTTGGTGCCGGGGCCCGGAGTTTCGATCTTGTAGATTCGGGGGGCTGTACGCGGCTGCAGGGTTTCAGAACTTTGGGATCTTCGGGTTTAGGGTTTCAGGATTTTTTGGTAGGTCTTACGGTTTAGGGTTTGCGACCATATTGGTTCAACATGGGGTTTTATGGGCTTTCGGGATGTATTACGGCACCAAAAACAAAAAATCAAGCGCTTTTGGCACGGTCATGTCTACATTGCCTTCAAAGCCAAAATCTGGCAATGCGAAGTCTTCACCCCAAAGCAACACAATAAACCCTAAACCCCTAAGCCCCAAAAACACCATCGCCTCATGTTTCCGCACGGCACCTTCCAGTAAAGGATGCGGCCTTGACCTTGGGAGCCTTCAACTCTGCCATACTGCTGATGGACAAAATCCTGCATGACCCTAAGGACTCTAAACTATGGGAACTATGGTATATTCCTGATAATGGGTAATGCAGGATTTTGTCCATCAGCAGTAGGGGCCTAAATAGTTACCTATACTGTGCTGGGGGTTCCTTTATAGGGTTCCCTAAAGGGTCTAGAGTAGGGTTCTGTAACATGGGGGCCTTGATAATACCAATACTAGTTTGGGGGTTCCTTTGTGTAAGTGTCGTATAATGCGCCCAAGACCCTGTTCTAATTATTAACCCGCCTATATTACAGGTCCCAAGAAGCTGCTCTGCTGCACCACTTGACGCAAGCCGTGCACGCACAGAGGGGGACACGGCGATGTTTAGGCACTGAATTAGTCTTGGTGTTGGCAATACTAATCGTAATTGCAATCGTAGTAGAAATTAAAACGGTACCAGTAACAGCAACAGTAGCAGAAATAGCAAAGCAACAGCAACAGTCATAGCAACAGAACGCTTCCGAAGCTTTAAAGGCTAATCGCGAAGCGGGAAGCCTCACGCCTTCGACACTAGGCCCAGCACAGAATGCAAAGACACCAGCCCTACCCCCAAAGAAGCCTCAACATAGGATAGGAATGTTTACAGTTCCGTAGGCTTCTTTGGGTTTCTGGGTACAATCGTAGTTCAACATACGCCAAAACCCCAGCGTAATCTTTAAGGCTCTCATCTTGCCGCAAGCCCTTCAACCCCAAGCCCTCAAATCTAATCCCAAAGTTCTCGGGAGAGCTATGGCCCCCTCCGGTGCCGACTTCCCGGGAGGCGGGTGAACGATGATTTGAGGATGTAGGGTTTAGGGGTTAGGGTTTAGGATTTGGGAATTAGGGTTTAGGATGTGGGGTTTAGGGTTATATGACTGAGTTTAGATTGGAAAGCCTCCAGACAAGCTCAGACAGCAAGCAGCATATATGTTAGATTGAAGAATCTGCCAGACAACAGCATCACTCGTTAGACCATTTCTTACCAAAGCAACGGCAAAGACACTGATACTGCTGCCTTCATAAGGAAGAGTTGCCAGAGTGGTTGTTAGTCCTTGCAGGATAGCCATACTGCCAGCATCAGCAGTGACGATGGAAGTGGCAGCAAGCCTCTTCCCCAATTGGCCACACCAGCAACCACCATGTTGTTAGGAGTAGGAGTGTTCTGTATCCACAACCCGACAGCAAACACGTTGCTATGTACTTGCAAGAGTCATAGTACATAGAAGCAACAAGGCAATAGTCAAACATGTGGCAACATGACTACCGCAAGTTCGTGGCGTCCAGCCTCGGAGCGCCAAAGCCAAACTACACGCTCAACCCTAAATGCCCAGAAGTTAAGATCACTAAGTCCCAAGCCCTAAACCCTCAGACCCGTGAAGCCATAAAGCCATAAGTCCCAAAGCCCTGAGCATTCCCAAGCAATCCCAGAGCAGCAGCGGCGCGCAACCCCAAACCCTAAATCCTTGTTGAGCTGAAACCCTAAACTCTAAACCTTCAAAGCCTGCACCGCGGAGGCTTGGATTTGCTGGCTCTCCTCAACCTCACCGGGCCGAGGAGCTTTCTGTTGCAGCTGGAGGAGGAGCCTAGGGCAGAAGTCGAAACTGCATCCGGAATAGTTATGGGGTTCAAGGTTTAGGGTTCAGGGTTTAGGGTTGAGGGTTCAGGGTTTAGGGATTTAGGGTTTAGGGTTTATAGGGTTCAGGGTTTAGGGGTTCAGGGTGCAGGGTTTAGGGTGTAGGGAATCTGGGAGAGTTCGAACCTATATCAGGACATTGGGTTCAGGGTTTGGGCTTCAAGGACGAAGTGCGGTTCCGTACAAAGTCAGCTTCAGAGTCTGGTTGCTGCAGGCACCAATGGCTGGAATATCAATAGTCATAGTACTCTTAATGTTAGCAGTAATCGTGATGCTGATACGTAGTAGTAGGAGGAGGAGAGCCGTAGAACTAGTAGGCCTAGAAGAAAAATTCCATGACACAGTAATTAGCCAGCTTTGACTATGGCGGTATGATGCCCAGCCAATGTTTGGATTTCCTTTGACACCTTTGTCCGCCAGGAGTTGGAGTCCTTCGTACGCTCGAACAGGCCCGTTTTTGTGATTTCCAAGAACCTGTGGCAGGTTTAGCCGTGCCGGGCCTCTGCCAGAAACAGTTTTGAGCTGTTACCTTCTGGGAGTGTCCGAAAATTGGGTGTACCTTCTTTTTGGGTCCTTATGGCCAAGATCCTACTATCTTGTATTCATTGGTTGACCTTTGAGGTTGTTGACTAGAGAAACTTGCGTTGGCCACGTATTGGTTGCTCGAAACTTGGCGCCGCTTCTCAGGTTCTCATCGTCTTGCCCCTCACTGCACTGTCAGTGTTCCGGTTTGCAGCCCGAGACCCGAACAAAAAGACATAGTGTCAACGGAGAGTTGGGTTCACGTTGTGCTATCCTTTGACGCTCCCAATTTGTTTTCCCATGAGCAGATGCAACAAGTAGAACATGTATGTCTGTGAACGTACGCATGTATGTGTGTGTATGTATGTATGTATGCATGTATGTATGTACGTTTGGTTGTTTGTTGGTGTGAGTTCGTTTGTTTGTTTGTCTGCTCGTTTGCTTGTGTGTTTGTTGTTTTGTTTGTTTGTTGTGTATACATGTGTATATATATATATATGAACAAATCTACATATGTCTATACATATATAATGTGAGTACAGATATGAATATGTATATTCATAGTCACATACTCATATTCCTACTCATACTCATAGGCATTCGCATACGCAGACTCATACTCATACTTATACGCATACTCATACTCATACTGATACTCCTACTCCTACTCGTATTCATATTTATATACACACACATGTCCATGGCTGCACATGATTTGCACCTAGCTGGATCTTAATGCCTTAAAGGGAAAAGTGGTTTATGTTCACAATTGCAGCTCATTGACAGCGATCCTCGTTCCGGATCTTGCGAAGTAAAGGAGAATTACGCCACTCTGACTGTCCTAAGAGAGGGGTCGGAAAACTACCAATACTGTTCCGCTTCCTTAATCTGCTTATGCTGTATTACAGTTAGAGCCCCTGTATTGGGCAGGGTTTCAAGTGTATGGTATGCTGGGGCCGACATAGCGAGCTTTGTGAAGCAAGCAAAAGCATCTGAAGCCCGTTTGGTCTAGTCGTACAGAGCGGGAACATTGCAGCCACGCCTGCAAAAAACTCAAACAAGCATTGCAGCGCCCTGAGAGGCTTGAGCTGGAGTTGCCCGCTCTGTCCCGACGCTACGAGGCCATCGGGCATGTCGGTGTGGTGCGCAGGGCGGGATAATGAAAGCTTGAGGTGTTGAAGCTGAGGCTAGGTAGTGGTAGGGTATAGTGTGTATAGTCGTATGAATATGAAGATGCGGTGTCCAAGCGCATCCTCACAGGCCCAGGTCTGACCACGGTGCGGAGCTGCATGGTCCTGCAAGAGCAGACACGCTGTAGTCACAGCACCCGTAAACCCGACACCCTGAACCCTGAATCCCAAACCAAACCCTCAACTCTAAACCCTAGACGCCCTAAACCCAACAAAAATTGCAAGCCCGAATCATCCTAATCCTGGCTTTTCGCCAGGATCTCTTGGTCGCCTCAGCCGTGCGCTTCGGACTAACTGTTCGGCGAGGACAGGCTGAAGGTGGGAAGTGCATTGCCTTACCTTTGGTTTGTAACGAATGGAGGAATGGGGTATAATTATAACTACCATTTTTACCATTCTTCTATTCCCTACTAACCAAAGGTAAGTTGCGGAGAGGTTCGTGGCAGCTTAGGCTTGAGAATTTGGAATGCAGGCAGGGCCGCAGTGCACATTCCCCTTTCGGGGCCTTAATAATTAGAATAGGGATCCTTTAAAGGATCTTGAAAAAGGGATCTATAGTAGGGTTCTATAATATCGGTGCCTTAATAATTATACTATAATTAATTTTCAATAAGGAACCCCCGGAATAGGATCATGGGACTTAGTCAATAGGGTTAAAGGTACCTTCAGTGGGGTTATCAGTAATTATAAGTATAGTTACCTTAATTATAACCCGAGTTACTAAGTCCCATGACCCTTTAAGCTCTATAATATCCGTGCCTTTATAATTCTACTATAATTACCATATACTATAATTATACTATAATTAATTACCATAAGGAACCCCCGGAATAGAATCCCAAGTCTTGAAGCCCCAGGCGGCCGGTGGCGAAGCCTTGCAAAGCCGAGCTTCGTCATCCAAAGAGGGGAGGAGGGTTTAGGGTTGAGGGGTTTAGGGTTTGGGGTTTAGGGTTTAGGGTTTGGGGTTTAGGGTTTGGGGTTTAGGATTTAGGGTTTAGGGTTTGGGGCTTAAAGAGGATTTCAGGGTTAGGGTGTATAGCGTGTAGGGTGTAGAGCTTAGGGTGTAGGGTTTAGGTATAGTGTCTATGCAGGGCTTGAAGGACTTGATGTGTATTTCGAAGTCACATGTTTAAGGATTGTGGAACGGGTCGGGGGTATAGGGATGCGTTCAGGGTCGATCGCTTTCTCCCACCACCCCCGCAAGTGGAAAGGGTATTAAGGCTTTCTGGTGAGGAAAAGGAACAGAAGCATCCCGATGGTTTGGGAGATGTGAGGTTAGTATTCCGGGCTGAAGAGTTTAGAGGCTTGTGGTTTCAGTGCTCGCTGTTCCGGTTTTGGGCTCGAGGGGCAGGGTTTGTGATCCTTTACGGTTTCGGTGCGGGTACAATCATGTATGTAGTTCAGGATTCCGGTTCCCCATCTTGGGATCGTGAAGTGGCCTCAACAGGTAGACGCCAGGATCGCTTCGTTGTCCGGGCACAGCCTGTTTTGCTTAAGACCGGTCAAGAGCAATAGAGAGGCCTGAACAGCCATGTTATCATTCCCTTTGGGTTTCTTGCTGTATTCATAGAAAAATATATCCCCCGACCCTATTCTAACTTTGAGGTGTCGTACTGCTTTGTGCTTGGTACCTTTGTTGGGGGTTCGTCCGAATAGAAATCCTATAATGTCGGGTTCAGTGTTGGGGCTCCCACTTTCCGCAACTCCCATCTCTTGTGTGCAAAGTAATCCTAAACATGGAATAATAATACCCGTATTATTCCGTAAGACTCCTGGTTATGTAGCTAGACTTATAACATCCCAAAATATTCACAATTGTTTTATCTCAAGCTTTGCTGCCAGGTTATGTGTCTCGATGCTTAAGCCCGTCCTCTGTCTGAAGTCTTGGCATCGAACTCCGTGCATGCAGGAGCCTGCCGTTCTTCCCAAATTCAGCCTTGCTGCAGCTGGGCATCTACCCTGACGTTCTGTGGGTTTACCGTTTATGGTTCTTTTCAGGTTGCGATAATTCCTCTAAGGATACCATAACTCCTTTAAGGGTGCTATATTTCCTGTAAGGGTACGACAGTACTACATTTTTTTTACATGGTTAAGGGTTTGCCTACAAGCTCTGGGGTTTGGGACCCGAGGTTGTTTTGGGGCTTTGAATTTTAGGGTTGAGGTTTTCAGGTTGAGGGTTTAGGATTTCGAGTTGAGGGTTTCGGGCTTAGGACCAGGGAATGGCGCGCAGTTCTGGGGTTAGGGGTTTTCTCGTACAGGGTTGAGTCAGTTCAAACACCAATGTAGTCCGACGGCCTAAAAGTTGTGCAGGGCTTTAGGGTTTGGGGTGCTCGTGAATTTGTGCCTCATAGCCATCAGGTGCCAAAGCATGGGCTCATTGAGGGCTGCAAGCCCCAAACTGCCGATTGTTGTGATTTCCCTGTGCCGGGATTGGAGTCAAGTGTGGGTCCTGTTACGGGATTTACTTTAAGTTACAGAAAAAGGCAATCCATATTATTTGCTACAGATCCCTATTATGGTAACTTAAACCTAAACCCAGAACCCTTAAAGGAACCCTTCCAGATCCCTATTATGCTAACTTCAACGGGAGGGTGTGGGTCCAAGGAGTTTCTGCGGCTGCAGTGCCTGCGCAGCGCCCCGCCTTCCGCCGTTTCCGGAGGCCGTCTGAAACGAGCCCAGAAGCCCGGAAATAAAGTCATGGCAATTAGAGGAATAGTAATAATAGTAATAATAGTAATAATAGTAATAATTTTAATAATAGTAATAGTAGTAATAATAGGAACAATAGTAATAACAGTAATAATAGTAAGAATAGTAATGATACTGAGTAGAACAGGGTTGAGGGCCCAAGCCTTAAGTTTAGGGTTTAGGGCTTAGTGGAGGGGCCTTAGTAGTAAGAACAGGGTTTTGGGGGGTTCCTTAGTATACTTGTAGTATAATGTACCCCCAAACTCTCTTCTATTTGTAGCTTCAAGGAATGCAGAGTTAACGATCCCAGGGTGACGGAGGATCCAGGCTTTGGAACTTGAGTGCAAAGATTGCAGCTGATGGAGTTTCCAGGCCTTTTCTGCGACTTCCCAGTTGGCAAAAATCCTGTATCGCTTCGTGCTTGGTTGCTTTGCATGTTTGATGATGACTGACCCTCTGCTCTCAACTATTACCATTATTATTTTTACTGTTATTACTAGTATGTTTTATGGAAGTCGATGGCAGAGCCTTTGCCCAGATTGTGCGATCGCAGGGCCAAATCTCTGCCCATCCGCAAATTGCTTAACTTCGTGTGCTTGACGAACCCAGACCACCACAGCTGCAGATTCGGGATGGAACCAAGGCAAGTTCCTGCGAATGATAACCTAAAGTATTTTTCAGCGTGTAGATCTGGAAGTTGGCGTCGGGTATTGGGCCTTGTTAGTACTTTGTGCCTGCGGTGTGGGTTGATACTGTAACTCGGTTTGCAAACTGGCGGAGCCGGCGTGGATATTCTCGAAACAGGCGCCCCAGATGTAAACGTTACTAACAGCAAACTTCAAAGGGAGCTCCGAGTGCGTACCTGGTCTGCCCCTAGACCCTAAGCATTGGATCCCAAACTTCATCCGTATACTCTGAACCTAAACACCCTACACCTCAAACCCCCTACACCCCAAACCTTAAATTCTAAAACTCCCACGACGGACGAGCGTCCCTTGCGCAGGTCCGAATGGCGAACAGCAGGCCTTAGCAGAGACTTGGGTTTAGGGACTGGTGGGTTTGGCGTAGGGTTTGAAGGGGGCTGGGCTTTGGTGTCTCCGGGTGTGCGGGAACAGGAGTGTTATATGTTGCTAAGCTCAGTGGCTAAGCCCCGTTCGCGAAAGTCTGTGCCGAGACTGGCACCTCATGTTTGCAGGTCTTGTTGTTGTAAGGGCATGGTTTCTTGTCGGGAGGGTTTAGTATTTGACAGCGGCATGCAGGATGTATTTGAAGAAACTGTTCGAAACCTTAGCCTTAGTCCTACACTCTCACAACTGTCTACCCTGCATGCACATGTTGTGTGTACAGGTGTGCACACACACATCACTTAACATGTATGTAAAGCAAACAACAAATATGTACCTATGAATAGATGTATATATATATATATATATATATAATATATATATATATATATATATATGTATATATATATATGTATATATATATGTAAGTGTGTGTGTGTCTGTGTGTACATATCTTTACAGACTCATAGCCATGTATACACATATATGTACACAGAGTATGTAAGTGTGTGTGTGCAACGGTGCATGTATGTTGCAATGTAGCATAGTGTCTAGAGACATTGCGTGCGTGTCGGCTTGTATTCCTGGATCCTGCAAAGTTTACGGTGTGCGCGGTCTGCGTAAAACCCTAAGTCTTTGAAGTGCAATCGCCGGTCGTCAAAACAGAGACCTACGGGATGGATGTCTCCTAGACATGCAGAAAGCACCGTTAAATGTGCCGTGTATGAGCCAGCTGCATTATTCGAATTGGGGTTTTCTCGTTTAAGGTTTAGGGCCTACAAGTTTATGGTTTAGGTCTGCGAGCCCCGTGGATGTCTGCCAGGGAACAGCAGAGGAGCAAATGCTGAGCAGGCACGAGATCGTTTTTTTGGAGAATTGGTTTCAGTGCCCAGGGTACAGTTACATCGTGTCTGATCGCAACTGAATTTGGATTTGCGGTTGCCTGGTTTTTGCCTGGTATTCGCTGATACCTTGGACTCAGTCTTCGTGTCGCGTTGATTCAGCTGTTTCCGTACATTTACTGGTTGCTACCATATAATACCTGTCGTGTTGCAACTTGCGTGGACGTTTGGTAACAATAGCAAAGGTCGAGGTCAGCCGGGGCCGAACACCAGTCGGATCCACATGCACAAATCTTGCGATCGATGCGGTGTTTGACGGGTAAAAGCGCGCCTTCAAGACGTGTGCGACCGAACTCCCAAGGTATCGTTGAACTGCAGCATACGTTGCCCACCTCTGCAGAATCGGTTTCGTGCAAACTCAGTGTCGTAGACCGCCGGAGATCGCAAAGTCCTCCATCCACCCCAGAGCCATAAACCTCAAAAGCCCAGAAATCTCACGTACTTGGAGGATCATGGGACATAGTAAGTAAGTTTTTAAGTACCTTAATTGGGGTTATAAGTACAGTTACTCGTGCCTTAATTATAACCCTAGCTACTAAGTCCCATGACCCTTCAAGTAGGAGCTCCCACGCCTCCCTGAGGCGCCTCCTAACTGTTCCAACCGATCCTGCTCTGAAAAACCCAAGCGCACGGATGATCCTAGATCCAAGCACTGAAGCGCCTCACCCTTAAGCGATCTTGCAGCCGTATATCTGTACATACATGTATATATGTATATATATGTACACACATACATATATATATATATATGTATATGTATATATATATATATACACACATACATACACATATATATATATAGATATGCATATACATATAAAACTTAAACCTGAACCCCAAGTGCACAGCTCTCAAATCTTCCGCCAAATGCCTCCCCTGCTGTTAGAGGCTGCGGTTACGGCTCTGGGCCAGGGCCTCAAGCTCGGTGTTTTGTTTATTCACATGCACACACATAGACAACACCGATACAGACATACAAATGTATGTGCATGCATGCATGCATGCATTTTATACCTATACAGGGAAAAAGCTGAAGCATTCCAGCTGCGAGACTTGCGGAAGGTTTTGGGACTGGATACTACTTTTGTACATGGAGCAAATACGAATGTAAGAGTCATGGAGAGAGCTCATGCAGATATAGGTGGACAAAGAATGTAAAGGTTTTTTTTCTCAGAATGTTGATGGAAAACGCGCGCCAAGCTGGCTGGACACATTATGTGTACGCCCCAACAAGACGCTTTATGCCAAGTAAGTTACCAGTCAGATCTGGCAAAGATGTTCCACATTAGGATCATTAGGAACAAGCTCATCTTGGGCAGCATACATGGCACGCCTCTTTGCTCCTTATGCCAACACAAACAGGCCAAATCAGTACATATATGAGTATGCAGTCAGAGCCGCCGACATTTTTGAGGCCGCCCCACCTGCCCACGGTCTCACGATCATGCCAACAGAGGTAGTAGATCCTGGCAACCAAAACCAGGTACATACACTACATAGATGCTACACACGCACGCACACGCACACGTTGACAGACACGAAGACGGACAGACAGACCGACCGAACAGACGGACAGACAGGCAGACAGACCGGCAGACATACGTAGGTACATGCATACATGCATACCCCTATACATGCACGCATGCATAGGCACCTACACATACACACAGGCACATAGACTTGCGCAGTCACAGACACAGACGCATACACAGACAGAGACACACCCACACGCACATGGACATAAACAGACACATGCACATATACATGCACATGCACATGCACGTGCATGCAAGGATGGTGAAGTATCCGCACATACATATACATACCTATACTACACCTACATGCATGCATACATGCCGACACGGGCATACATCCATGTTTGCAGGCAGACACACATACAGATACATGAACGCATCGCACATGCCTACAAAAAATTGCTTTTGTGCATATACATACATGCATGCAAGTCCATTTCTACATGCATGATGTCGTTCGTCCGTATAAATACACTTACAGGTTACACCACTCGTGCAGGCTAACGACTGTACCAGCTTATGTATCGTTGATCAAGTGGTCCCGAAGGCTATAAAGAAGGTTAATACAGGGGCCTGAATAATTAGAACAGGGTTTTGTTGCCCACCATACTACAGTTATAATCAGGCCCCCCCCCCCCAAAAAAAAAAAAAAAAAGTATGGGCCCCGCATTGACACAAGAACGTTCCTGTCAAGGAGCCCAGGCCCTGAGCAGCCTCAAAAGAACTTTCAAGAGCACCATATATATATATATATATATATCTACATACAGGGGCCTAAATAATTGGAATAGGGTTTTGGGGCCCATTGTACTCAATTGATTGATAATAGGGAGCCCCCAAAATATTGTAGGTAATTATTTGGGCCGCTATATTACAGGCAAACATGAACCCGAAGCCCCACCGCCGCAGCAAGCCTGTGCAAGCCGGTTCTTCTCCTTCGACCGCAGCTCATTCCAAACCCGAACCACTAAACCCCGGAGCCTTGCGTCCCGGATCCCAAACTCCGGAAAACTGAACCTTGTCCAACAACACACTGAACCCAAACCCTGAACACCAAACTCTAGCGCTCGAGCTTTTTTTCCTCTTGTCAGCGCCCTGCGGTAAACAGGCCGCCCGGCGTGCTTGCGATCAGCTTGAACGGGCCCTGGCCGAGGCATCCACAAAAACACTTCGACATGCTTGGACCCAAGTCTAGGTCTGAGGCTTTAAGGTACCAGTACTGCTACCACTATCACGAAGATGACGACCCGACACCAATCGCCGCTACATCGGCGGGGGTTGCTTGACGGCATAAAGGCAGCAACAGACTAGTTCGGGTGAACAGGATGGTCGTGGTGGTGATGATGGCAAAGTTGTTGACGTAGCTCCTTTGCATCACCAAGACATTAGCTGTTGCATTATCATCACCATCAGCAGCAACCACAAGGCTATCTTTATGTGCATGATCATGTTCATGATGGAGAACAAGTCACGGATGCGTTTGTGGAATTTAGAGGGTTGGGTCCAGGTTTGCCCCTTCTCTTCAATTTGGAAGCGGAGCCGGAAGTATGGAAGAGGGAAATACGGCTTGTTAGAAGCCAATAACCGAGCAGCGTGTCATACTTCAGGAAGCATTTCGGATTGTTTGCAGGGCGAGGGCCAGAAAAGGCCAGATAAGTTCCGAAGCGTGTGTTGCCGCTCCCATCCCGTCCCGCGATTGATCCTCTCATGCTGTCATGACAGGAGAAATCAGAGCGGATGCATACTAGTGTATGAGATTGGGATCATGAGTTTCACCTCGAGTCTGCCGTTGTTGCAAGCCCCAGGCCCACACAGCATGATATGGCAAACTCCTCCGTCTCTCCCACTCTCTCCCTCTCTCTGTCTCTTTTCTTTTGTCGTTCCAGCGCCCTTTCCCTCTCGTGCAGTTTCCTCATTTCTCCGTTATGTTTTTTTTTTTTTTTTTTCTCTCCCTCTCTCTCTCTCTCTCTCGGTTCCCCCCTCTCTGTCGCTCTCTTCTCGCTCCCTCCGTCTCCATCTCTCTCGCTCGCTCTTCCTGCCTCTCTTTGCACACATAGGTTTAAACGCATCACGAGTCCTGAACATGTCTTCATCATGTTAAGAACCGGATATCCATTCTGCCAGGCGCAGGAGCAAATGGCACCGACGGTGGGAGCGTCCCCCGAGGTCGGGACGGTGGGTTTAGGGTCTACGTGACTGCCGGCTGTAAGGTTTTATCGACTTATGGTCTCCTGCATTGAACTATTACTGCTCCGCTCTGACAACAATTGTGCAGGTGTTTTTTTCGTTATCTGCCCCGATGGTGCCTATTGGTTGGGGTTTGAACGTAGTGGAAGGTCCAGGGGGCTGTTCGCAGTTTTCGTTAGTAACGCCCTCTTTCAGCTCTTCATAGGGGCCTTGATGATCATGGGTCACTCAGTTTTTGACACTTGCATATCAGCACGGGCGTGCGGGAGTTCGTTGTGAGAACCCTCTATGGTGCCCAAATAGTATCCAGGAGCTAAATCCGAAGAACCGAACAGCACCATAGAGTCCATAGAGACCGCACTTCTGAGACCCAAATGCAGGCCGGCAGCCCTACACCCTCAAGCCTCAACCATCTGCCAACATGTAACCAAGAAGGAGCCCGATGGCGCCAACATTGCAGAGAAGGTCGAGGCCAAAGCAGCTGGCTAGCCCGTGATACAGTGGGGGTCGGATATGTAAGGAATGTAACCATGTTGGTTCTGAGTGTATATAACGGAATTTGGATCAGATACAGACTCAGCCGTAGGGCCGTAAATGAGCCTTGGTTAGCTAAAGACGCCGTCGGTGACCGAAGCCTGATATCATTTGGACCCAGGGCCCTGAATCCAACACACCTGAGCCTGAACCCTGAAAAGTCCCACCAAATTCCCAAATCCTCCACCATCAACCCTGAAAAGCACCAAGGCCAGAAGTAGTGCTATCTCACTTTTGTTAAATACAGTATCAAGTCCTCAAAATCCTGAGCCTTAAGCCCTAAGCCGTACACCCTAAGCCCTGAACCTTGCCTAAGCTCCAAACCCAAGCCCTTGTTCCTTCCTTCTCAGAGGCTCGTTGGCACGAGCATCAGAGGGCTCAAGGGAGTGCCGTGAAGAAGGCAGTGGGATGCAGGATTCTTTCTTTGCAAATAATAATAGTAATGACCATAACGGTAACGCAAACATCAAGTTGAATAGTAGGAACACTTATAACGCAGCCCATTACAGGTTGTAAGCCTCAGTTTGGAGGGGTGTAGTGATCAGGGTTTTTTCGTGTCGAGTTGAGGGCTCTAGGGTTTCCAGCTTTTTCAGACCTGCGGAGCTGACATGCGACCCAAGCCTCTAGTGACTTCCTATGCAACGCCCAGGCCCAGAACTAAAAGTGCAATGCCTCATGAAGGGTTTCCATTATGATTCAGATTCGTGGACATCTACATCTTCAAAGGGGTGTTGGGCTCCTTGGAAATTCCTAGGGTCCAGAGTGCTTGGTTCGGGCCGAGAAAGCAACACGAGGGTGTTGCGGGGCGTTAGAGTTCGGTATGTTCGGGCATAGAAAGCTGTAGCTGAGATGTGAGTGACTTCGTATGGAGCTGCTGTCAATGCCACGAACAAACCGAGTACCTGCGCTCCGTTCTCTGCAGGCGAAGAACGAGCACCCAACCTGCGCTAAGGATGATCCCAGCGCAGAGGCGTGATTTGATATGAGACGCCCATATTCCTACAAGGGCACTTCATGCTCTTATTGTACTTGCCATGGCAAACACAATGTAAGTACCGTCTTGTGTCACGATGAACTTGCAGTACCATGTTCTAAAAAGTCTCCCGATTTCTCAGTCTTCCTCCTTCAACCTGCCTGTCTTGCTGCCTATCTACCTGTCCTCGTCCTCGTCGCCGCCGGGGTAGCGCTGAAGCAGGAATCGTAGTGGCAAGACAACGTACTGCTACTGATGATCATACTCAGACGGGTACAACACAGTACCGGCGCGATCGCCGATCGCAGTGCTAGCACTGGCAATAGCATACGTAGCTGCTCCAGCGACAGTCATAACATAGGGGCCTAAATAATTGCGAATACTATTGTAGGGGTTCCTCATTATGATTATGGTATAATGGGCCGCCAAACCCTATTCTAATTATTACGGCCTCTATATTATGCAAGTAGCAGAGCCATTTACTACGCAAAGCCAGGTGGAGGCGAAAATAGAGCCCACCAAAGACGAGCACCCGGAGACCTCTGCGGTCAAGGTGCAGAGCTTCGGAAGTCATATCTCGAGCCCAAAGGTTGCGATATCCCAGCACTTCTGCGTCGGAATTCGGGATGTTACAGTGGCACTTCTGTGTCGGAATTCGGGATGTTATAGTGAGAGACTCCAAAACCTCTTCAATAAGGAATATACCGCAAATGACAATGGGAACCCTAGTATGATTGCAAGTATATTCCATTTGGCCCTACCTATAGGCACCATGTTAGTTCCTTTTTTGGGTTACCTTCTAGGATCCTAATTATCAATAGGGTTTAACCTAAAAAGGAACTACAATGGAGACTATAGGCATGTCAAAATTACTTTGATGTCTGTAGCACAAGGATCCTACTATTAGGGGTACTATATTAGAGGCCCTTATGTTCGGAAACCCCCATGTGCCACTAGCAGAGGGTTCACTGTACGCCCAAACGGTACTATGGGGGTTCCTAATTATTAGTCGCATAACCCCCAAAACCTTGTTCTTACCTTTGGTTAGTCGGGAATGGAAGAATGGTAGTAATAGTAGTTATAATTGTACCCCATTCCTCCATTCCCTACTAACCAAAGGTAAGTATTCTCCTTATGAGGGCCCTTACACTGTGTCAGGCCGAGGAGCCCGGACTAGCGCCTCCAGTAGAGGCTCCCGGTGTGCAGGAGCGGGTCACTTTGGGGCTAATGTAGTTTAAGGTTTAGGGTTTAGGGTCTAGAGGGTTTATGATTTGGGGTCTAGGGTTTAGGATTCAAGATCTAGGGTTACAGGGTTTAGCATGACAGAAGCAACTCTTATCTGCAACAGTGTCTTGGCGGATACTGGTCTGTACTTGTTTAGTGACTGTGAGGGAATCATTTTACTGCTTATTTAGGCTTCTGTATGACATGGGTTTGGGGCCTAGGGTTTCGGTGTTAATATGGAATCAGGGTTTAGGGTTTAGGCTGTCCGGCTTCCCGGTTGGGGGGGGATCAGGGTTTTGAGCTGGGTTTCGCGTTCAAGGGCTGAGCTGGAACAGCAGACGGTTCGAGAGCTCGAAACAGATAGGAGCTTGTGTTAGGTCCAGTGTCTCCGTTTCGGCAGCGGACATGTTGTTTGGTTGCTCGCCGGACAGCGGCAAGGAGGATCCACAGCTCCTTTCCAAGCAGTTACGAACCTCGAGCAATATTTCGGAGACACAATCCAGCTTACTGCCGTCGGTACTGTAGACAGGTTCCAGCTTTTTTGCGCCACCGTTCTAAACACTGCGGTCTCTTCGTGAAGCCTGGACTGCATAGGCTCTTACCGAACTCCAAAACAGCACGCACAAGCGCGGAAGCTGTCGGCGCAACCACCCCACAAACGTCGGGATGACCCAAACCCGAAAGCTCTAAGCCTTTAGCTGCATGCCGGAAAGGTCATTAATGTACAATCCTGATCAATTACCAACATTATTCCCTTCATATAAGTATAACAGTATGACTAAATATTACGGCCCCCCGTATCATAGAACCCTCATCGTAACCCTTATAGGAAACCTTTAAGGGAACGCTTAAGGGAGCCCTGTTCTAACCATCATGGCCTCTATGTGTTTCAGATGAAGGAGCTGGTAGTTCCGAAGATGGAGGAGGCGCCTCCTCCACCGGAGGCCAGGCATCCGGTCAAAGTACCACGGGACCGGGACCATAGTGCAACCTTACCATGAGAGCCTGAATGAACCCCTAAAGCCCTAAACCCTAAACCCTTATAGAGCCCTTTAAAGGAGCCCTTATTATAGTACTCTTATAGATCCTCTTTCAAAGGAACCCTAAAGCCCCAAAAACCCTAAACCCCTATGGCTCAGAGACAGGTAGACTCCTTCGTCCGTCGTCCTAGACTTTGTAATTTTTCAAGTGGTTGGGTTTGGGAATCTGAGGCTCTGAGCTTTTCTTTATACACATTGCGGTCATTCACAAGCATATTCCTGAATGGTCGTTGTATGATGGCACTAGAAAAAGTTTCCCAAAACTCTATTGACATGATTAAGAAGGCAACTGTATTCTAGCCTGTCGCTCCCATGTCTATCCAGCTCACTACGGGCCTTCTCAACACATCACAGCTCAAGTCCGCCCAAATCGCGAAGTAAGTCCCAAAACCTCGACACTCAAGCTTCTAAATTCTACACCCCAGGCCTGTAGTATAGTATAGTACAGTACGGCACCGTACAGTATAGTATAGTATAATCGTAAATCCCAAATGTCGGATATTGCGGGCTCGCAGCAGACTCGACGACCTTCACAAACTCCGCAACTCTAAGCCTCAAGCCCTACACATAAACCCCAATCCCCTAAGCCCTGAACCCCAAACCGCCAAAGCCTTGTGTTGCAGGAGAAAAGGAGCGACAAAAAAAAAACAAAACCGCCAAAGCCCTAAACCCTAAAATCCTAAACCCCAGATTTGACAGGTTCCAGCGACCAAGCTCGAGCATTCGGCAACAGAGGTCAAGGTCCGGCCTGCAAGAGGGTTTTGGGTTAATTGGAATAGGCTGTTGGGGCCCATTATACTAGAATTATAACAAAGAGCCCCCGAAAAATAGTATAGGATATTATTAAGGCCCCTATATTAGGGGTTCAGGGGTTAAGGGTTGAGGGGTTTAGGGGTTTCAGGGTTTAGGGTTTTGGGGTTAGTGGTTTAGAGGTTTAGGGTTAAGGGTTTAGGGTTTTGGGCGTAGGGTTAAGGGATTTACGGTTTAGGTCGTTGACTTCGGAAGATGGCTGAAACAGGTGCGATTTGGGTTGGGATGCTTGTAGAGCCTCCTCTTGCGAGGCAAAAAGCACAAACAACTGGAGATCATCAGAACCTTAATGCGCAATCTCTTGATCTTAAAGCTCCGACCATTTCCGATCCCACTTGATGGACGAGTTGGTTCAGAGCAACTGCGGCTGATGCCTTCAACAACGAAGCTTTTGTTGCCTGAGGTCTCCCCGAAAGCTCCAAACCACTAAACCTTAAATCCCTATAAACTCTGAGCAAATAAACATCTAAACAGCAAGCCCTAAACCCCACACCACGAAGCCTTGTGAGCCCTTGCACTGACCGGAAGGCTAGTTTGAGAGCACATGCTGGGCTTTGATCATCCGACCCCAACCGCTAAACTCTGAGGCCTTGCCCTAAGGGTCCATGTACACAAATTGTGTATACTTTGGCCTTAAAGTAGTGCTATTTGGGTACATGGACCCTTAGGGTTGTTTGGGAAGAGGGTTGTTTGGGAAGACACGAAGGTCGAGGCTGCGATGGTCAGCAAGGAGGAGCCGGCCGCCGAGGTGCCACGCGTGGGTTCCTGTCAAGGGGTCCTTTGAGGGATCTGATGGGGGTTCCTTTAAAGGGGTCCTGTAAGGGATCTGCAGGGGTTTCTTTAAAAGGGTTCTTGAGGGATCTATCAATCGGGGTTCCTTTAAGGGCCTCCTTGAAGGGCTCTAAAGCGATACCATCAAGGTTCCTTTGAGGCCTCCAACAAGAACTCCAAAAGGGCACCATGAGGGTTCCTCCAACTTCTCCAATAAGGCGCTATAAGGTTTCTAGGGTTTCTATGGGGCACTGCAAGGGTTCAGAGTTTAGAGATGTAGGTGATGCATGCCTCAACCCAGCCCCGGCAATCCTACGTTTTCCGAGGAAATCTGAGTTTGTCTGTCGGGAAAGTCCAAAGTTGCTGGTTGAGAAGAACACGACCAGAAATCTGAGTTTGTCTGTCGGGAATATCCAAAGTTGCTGGTTTAGCAGAACACGACCACCGAGTCCACATAGCCATTTTGTCCTGGAGCCATGAGAATTAAGAATTCTGCTCCGCCAGGAACCATCAGACCCGGCTTCTCCTGGAGTGAAGGCACAGTGCATCCCATCGTCAAACTCCAGACTTGCAGCGCCCAGCGTCAGCGGGCCCACCTCCCAGCTACCCCTTGGAGCACGTCGCTCACACTAAGGGCGGTAGTCAACAGAAGCTCCTCTGAACCCTAAGGCTTCTGAGGCTTAATCTTGCCACTGCAGTTGTAAAGCGGTCCAGCATCATTTCTCTTCCATGGTGCAGTCGATATTCTTCCGACCACAAGCACATTACTGGGTTCTTGTTACTGATGTTGCTGATGTTGTCGCTGCTGTCGTTGTTGCTGCTGCTGCTACTGCTGCTGCTGTTGACGGCGGTCTAGCAATACAACGGCAGATAGGCATTCTTGACGACATGGTCCATGCCTTCCCGTCCAACAAAGTCACAGTAACAGCTTGCGCTTGTGCTTGCGCTTGTTGTTGTCGTTGTGAACAGGTGCGGCAAGAAGAGTCGGAGCCGCTCCATGAGGACAGCCATGGACCCCAGGCCCACTTTGAGAGTATCTGACATATGGTGCCGTGACCGAAGCACGAAACAAAGAAGCGAGTCTTCAGGGTTTTCGCGCTGCGGGTGTCAATTTGGGTGTGTTGAGACATGTTGCCCCAATTGCATCTCCTCCCTGAGACTCCCACAAATAATAAAGCACACTGATATAGGGTTCCCCATTCGAGTGAATAAGGGCCCTCTACCCATAGTTTTTCTAGTTGTCGTAAGACCCTGTCAGAGAACCGTCAGGAGGAGGCTCCAGGTGTTGCGCGAATCTGTGCGCCTCGGATGCTCAGGGGTTATGTGAGGCTGTCCCATGAGGGATTGGTTCAGGGGTTGGGGGGAGTTGAACGGCAAATCGAAGAAAGAAGGGATTCGACTTTGTCCCCAGATTCTGGTCTGGTATCTGCATTTTACAGTTGTGCATCGTAGGTTGTCTTGGGCCGCTGAGCCCGTGGCTCTAAAGCGTGCCCTTCACAATCTACTCTTGGGACCCACCGAAGAAGCCGTGCGGTACTTGGGGAGTTGTACCATCGAAATAATCTTGAGAGGCAGTGGCTGGAGCCAAGCTTGTCAATCTTGGCTGGAAACAGTCGCAACAACCTTCTGCCCAGTAACTCTACTACTAGTAATCGTAGTAATTAATAACTGAAACCCATCTCATAGTTTGCAACATTCCGACCTGGATGCTCAAAGCTCTAGAGGCTCCAAGAGCAGTGAGCTAAGACTCCTGGCATATTATAGGGGCCGAAAACATTACAACTTTTTTTTTGGGGGGGGGTCCTCAAATTGTAATTATCGTATGAAGGGGCCCAAAATCATATTCTAATTATTAAGGCCCCTATGTTAAACCTGAGGACCTGATGCCTACACCATACATCCCAAGTGCATGACCCGAAATCGGTGCTTACCGGCGGTAGTGGGTCATGGGATCGGACTTATGGGTACCCTACTGAGGTTCAAACTACTTTCTTCGACACCCTACATGCAAATGGCCTTGAAATATGCACCGTGTTCCCAGCTTAGGCAGTCAAAGAGGAGCCGGAGCATCACGACGAGGCAAATGGCTTGTTCTACTTGGCGGTTCAGGTGTTGTCTAGTGTAGGGTGACGAAGTAGTGTTGCGAACCCTCAGGTGCTTGCACCCCTTTTATTGAAGTACAGAGCCTACGGCTATTGGCTATTGGGGCTTGATGTTACAAGGAGGTGATTTTGTTTCTTTGGTAGCTGCCTTCTGCCAATGATGGTTATGCACCAGTGGTTCAGCACTTTGTACTCAAGTTTTGAGGGTCTCGCAACTTTGTGCATCTGCGGTGTTGTCCTGAATTCCGGGTGTTGCAGCACGCCAGCATTGTTGGCAGCTCATCGAAAGACGTTCGGAACCTTGTCTGCGACACAGGATGTCAGGAATGGGGAATGTGTTGTACCAGGTTGCAGTACGTAGCAGAAATGGCCGTGTTCATAACAACGCTTGCTAATGCTGGAGAAGATCGGAATGAGGAAGATTCGCATCAACAGTGGTCATCTTGCAGCCGGTAGATGTATATCATCGAGTCGCAAACTGCCATAACAATACTCGTATATGATGAGTGGGACTGGCATGAACCGCCAAGGTATGTGCTGGACACACCAGCGCAGTCGTTTTGAAGAGTTCAAGCGCTGCACGGTGTCTATTTGCTAGAGTTTGGTCGTGTCTGCATCTGGGGTTTAGGGCCAAGGGTCAATTATGGTGCAGGTCTAGTGTCACCTCGTCCAGCAAGCCTCCATTCCACATTCCTTCAGGAACGAAGCACCTCCTTAAGCTCCATTCTACGTATGCTACCTACGAAGACCAGCCATGGTAAGGACTTCGCATCCTAGAGCCCAGGGTATCTTTGCCCAAAGCTTCCGCATTCATCTCTCTCTCGAGGCCGGTGATACCTTGGAGGCGCAAGTCAGCCGAAGTCCGTTCCCAGAATGGTTTGAACATAGGTGACGGCTCTGTGTGTGTGTTTGGGGTACAGCAACCTTAGTAAGACTTAGAACAGGGTTTTGAGTATATCATGCTACAAATATATTGATAAGGACCGCCCCCTCCCACAAAATAGCATAATTAGGTAGTTGTTAGGGGCCCTATACTGTTTCCATGCTAGGGACTTCGTGTCAAAGAGCCCATGCAGCCGTGTTCTTCTTGGCCTGGCAGGAACTGGTGATGAGCCCTGAAGAGCAGGAGTCAACGAGATGCCTTGGGAGAGTCACCCCGAGCTAAAGCATAAGGCGCTAAACCCATACATACGAAACCCACAAAGCCCTAAATCCACAAGCTCCTAAAACCTAAAGCCCAAAAGCGCAAGCCCCCCAAAGACTCTAAACCCTAAACCCTCAAAGAAACCCCTACGAGCCCCTTCAAGGATCCATCGAGGTTCCTGAAAGATCCTTAAGAGCTCCTTTTATTCGCAGGACTCTAAACCCTAAGCCCTTAAAGCAAAACCCCTAGGCCCTAGAAGGAAGCCTAAAGCCCTAAACCTCCCTGAACCCTAAACCCTAAACCTTAACCCCTGAACCGTAAACCCCTTAAAGATACCCTTATAGACCCCTTTAAAGGAACCCCTTAAAGGTACCCTAGATCCCTTAAAAGGAACCCCTGGAACCCGAAACCCAAAGCCCTAAGAGCAGCTCGCAGGACTTGCGCGAGGAACTCCGGGCCACCTTTGCTCGCAGCGATGCGGCGGTCGCCAGGTCCTGCGGCTTCTGGGGGTTTTAGGTTTAGGGTTTTGGGTTTAGGGCTTTGGGTTTAGGGTGTAGGGTGTAGGGTTTTGGTTTTAGGGTTCTGGATTTGGGGTTTGGGGTTTAGGTTTTTGGAGCTTTAAAGGTTTAAGGGTTTAAGAGTTCAATAGGGCTTTTGGAGGTTTGGGATATAAAGGGTTAAGCGTATAGCGTTTAGGGGTTTTGGGATTTAGGGTTTGGGATTACAGGATTTTGGGGTACTTTTGGGTTTTAGACTTTACGGTTCAAGGGTTTGCGGGTTTAGGGGTTTTGGGGTTTGGGATATAGGATTTGCGAGTTTACGGGGATTAGGGCTCAGAGGTTTGGGGTTAAGGACTTAAGGGTCTGGAGTTTGAGGGTTACGGATTTCGAGTTGAGGGTTTGGGGGTTTAGGATTCTCGCGTGGAATTTTCATGAAAGCAGCAGTCCATGACGCCAGTGCACGCTTGCATGTGGAGCACTGGAAGGTGAGCAAACGATCTGGCGAGAACGCGGCGCAGGGGATTCCAAAGCCCATGCGAAAATGGCCTTCCGAAGCAGTCCAGACGGTTGAGGCTCGAAGTCCAGGATTCGAAAGGCTTTCCAGTGGGCATGTTCGCATGTTTTCAACCTGTATGAAACTGGCCCGGGCTATTTGCTTATCCCGAATCTTTGTGCGACGCCCGGTGCCAGGTTCCTATCGTCAACTTGAAGAGGATGGGCTGGGCTGGACGCGGCTTGCTTGCTTACTCTGAACGTCTATGGGGCATTAGGTGCGAGGTGCTCATCCTCAACTTCCCTCAGGATGGAGGCTCGACCGTGCTAGTTTCCACAATTTCCCCCTTTGTTGGGTTCTCGGCCTGGCTTGCAAAGAGTCCCGGTGCTTCTTCTCAACTCGCATGACTTTCCTCAAATCGCAGGATGTCGTTCACCCGGCTTGTTTGCTAACCCTCAACTTGGCTGCTTACAAGCAATCTGCATGGGTTGCCGTTCCGCATACTCGAATCGACTGAGGATCGACAGCTGGATGGTTCAACCGACTGTGCATATCCTTCGCAGCTACCCCGATCAACCGCGTGATTCTCGCCGCGGCTCGGTGGAACGCCATCGAAGCCTCGATTGTTGCAACCCTGCACCAACCGACCTTGTTAAGTGGCCTTGCCTGCACCTGCAGCCCAGCCCGTCAATGGGCAAAGCACGTGCCAGTGCATGTCGCTGTGATAATACAGCAGCACACGAACAAAAGCGACTGGGCTCTCGGACTGCCTTCTCGCCTTATTGGTCTGCTGCGAGACGACTGCAGTGATTCGCCCCAGACGACTTTCAATGTTGCGGTCCGAGACATCTTCGGCTGCGCCTGTCCAATGTCGACAAATATCAAAAGAAACAGAGAAGGCTGCCGAAAGAACGGCGAAGCTCGAACGCACCGCTGCACGTTGGCAGCAACCCTGAAGAAACAAACGAACCTACGTGTCAGGCGCAAAGGCTGAGCAGATCAATGTACCTTTGGGGAGCGCACGCGAGGCTTGTGAGCCATAGTCGTTTTGTACACATGCACGCGTGCACATGAACAATATGTTTCACTCTGCCACGGATTGGGGTTTAGGATTGAAGCGCTTATGGTCTAGTGAGTCTAGTGCGTTTTAGGATTTAAAGGTTCGGGGGTCTAGTTCATCATTTTGCGAGGTTGAGGCTTAGGAATCTTAGGAATGTGTAGGGTTTCAAGGTTTATGGGTTTAAGGTTTTCTGTGTTGGGATTGTTTTGCTGCGGTTTAGGATGTCGGGCTCGGGGATATCTAGGCTTTGCCATTTATTGGGCTTATGAAGGATTTCATCGCTGAGCCCTCAAGTAGTGAAGTTTTGGGGTTTCGGGTTTAGGCTTTAGAGTTTAGGTCCTTTTATAAATCACCAAAGTTGCAGGAGTCTTGTCTTGGTCGGCCGTCGGGCTTGCGGCGAAATTTCGTGGAATTCGTGGAGCATCGGTTGGTGGGCCTTTTGCAATTTGTGGTATTCCGACGGATAGTTCTTAGAGGAAGCGTGCTGTAAGCTCTAAGAGTCTTTTTCAAGCTATCTGATTGCTAGGTCTTTGGATTGAGGATTTAGGTCGTGCAGTTCAGCATTGCAAAGTTGAGGTGGTTTGGAAAATTTAGCTCTTTGGGGGTTTAGGGGCTTAGGGCTTAAGGATGGTTTCGGTGTTGCTGTAGGTTTCTGTCAGCTATTGGCATTGCATCTGGATCCCGGCACACAAGATCCCCCGAAAGCCAAAACTCCAACAGCCCAAAGTGCCCCAGAGGCTCAGAGGTCTTAGTTTCCAGCCTTTCGCGATAATGAAAGCTGGAAGCTCCGACATCCGAATTTTCGGGGTACTTTGGTGCATGTTAGGAGATTTGTTCTGATCTTTCAACCAGCTGTTCTTGAAGGAAATGTTCAAGCTTAGGGTCCAGTGCGTTAAGATGTGAGGGCTTGGCTTAAGCAACCCAGTTCCTTGAGTGCACAGCTATATGCAGGTTAACCCTTCCAGTTCCAAAATACATAGCATCTCAATAATCAACCAAACCGTAGTCCAGATTTTAAGGCCCATACACCAAACCTTTGTATTGGACCGTGATCCCCGATTACAAGAGCCCTATAACCAAACCCTTCCGAGGTCTAATCAAACCCTTAAAGGAACCCTGTTTTCCTTCTTGCGGCCCCTTCTTTCTCCTGGGGAAACCATTTCTTGGAGAAGCTGAACTGGGGAGGTGGTTGGCTTGGGCCGGCCACGGTTCAGAGTCTTCTGACCCGGAAGAGGCAGGGAAGACACTTCGCTTCCATTATAGCGAACACCAGAAAGTTGGAACTCGGACGTAGGATGATTAGTGCTAGGATTCCCTATAAATACTTAGCCCTCACACAAGGCCATTTGCACAATGATGTTGCACATGTCGGGCTACTATTGTTTAGAGTGTGGTAGTAATGAGTAATTGTACGCTGGATCGACAGGGGCTTGGACGTACATTCTACTGCAATTTCAAGGCAGTCTGAGGACATAACCTGAAAGAAATATTCAAGACCTTACATTAAGGCCCATCTGGGGTCTGGATTTAGAGATATGGGGCTTCGGGGTCAGGACCTGCAATCCAAGAGTTTGGGAGATGGGCTTTGGCGGTTGGGTGTACATATTTATGATTATTTTTCCACGTAAGTGCAGTGCGGAGTATCCGAATCGATAACTGTGGCACCGAGAACTAGTTCTAGCAGTACAACAAAACCCCAAACTGCAGGGCATCGCACGGAGTGGCACTTTGGACAAATGCTGACTAAACGACAGGTCTGGTACTGCCAATCGCACAGCCGTAGAGACCACTGCTAGTTCACCAATATTTTGGCCCAAATCAGCGCAAAATTCTATATCCCAGCGCAACATTATTATCAGCAACTGTGCATACTAGATGCCAGTGCTTCTTGTGCATACCCATTGCAGCAGCATGGGCCTTCACCGCGGGAACAAACCCTAAGCCCTCGTGAGAACTTCTGATTAAGGCGGCGACTTCAAACCGAGCCGCACCTTGCTTCCGCAGGCACACCGAGATCGGGGAGCTAAATCCTGCGCACTTATTAGTAGTACCAGTATATATTATGGTGACTGTCTTTTATATAGTATTGCGACAAATATAGTTGTTGGTTTTTATCGCGCCCACTGTCATAGCCAAGATCAGTATCATTATCAGTGTTATTGGATATCTTCCTGGCATCATGAATATCATTACTAAACTATTGCTGTTGTTGTTCTGAGTATAGTGAGCAACATCAGTAAGACCGCAAAGCCTGAAACCGGAAGAAGGATGATTTGTGCTGATAGTCCCCATGCTGTGCTTGTAGGGCATGAGAGAAACTGCAGTGGATAAAAGGTGTGGGCTTAGGGTTGAGTGGTTGCTTTGGGGGCCTAGGCTCAAAGACGTGCACTTTTCGGACCACTTAGACGTTGCCCAGGTTGGAGCCTGGGGGGGTGAGGCATACACGACACAAGCTTTGAGTAAAGTCCTTGTAGCTTCACTCAGGCATTGCTACGCACACGGTCAACAGTACTGAACACAAAATGATGACTTGAAGGTGTTTCTACACATAGCCACTAGCTTGCATGCATGAGTACATATGCAGTATACATATATATATATATATATATATATACAGAAGAGGAGGCTGTGGGGCCTGCGTTTTGGCAACCCACTATTTTCAGTGGCTTTTATGTTTCGAATGGTTGTGCGTGGGTTTCTGTGTCAGTTGGTCGCTCGTTTGGTGCGCATGCTTGCACGTTTTTGTTTCCAACTACAACATCAACTCTGAATTGTTTCAACCCCCGCGGTCTGTTTATAAACACAGAGTTTGTTTATAAACATTGCCTTTCGGTCTACCGTGCTTTCAACGTTTTGAGTTTGTTGGATTTGTTCGTTGTCTTTTGTGTCTAATGTATGATCTACTATAGTTAACTCTTGTCTTCTTGTCTTATACGTGCTGCTGGTTGTATGTTTCTTCGTATTCATTTATATATGCCGTGATGTCGCGCGGAAGCGGTGGAGGGGGGGAGGGGGTGATGTTACACATCCAGGTGCCTGTCTGTTTCACGTATCACTTGCATGTATCCATGCCTGTTGCTCAAGGTTCTAGTGCAGTGGACTACAGCTGTGCGCCTGTAGCAAAAGAGACACCTGAGTGCCTGTGTTCCTGTACGCCTAGCGAGGGGATACACGTCCAGGTTACATCTCAACGTGGTAGCGGAGCTCCCGGGAAACGGGAAGCTTCACACTTGTGGAGGTACCCGTTCGGTACTCTCTACACAGGTGGAGGCAACCGGAATACCCGGTGTGCTTCACTCAGGTGAAGGTGACCGGAGTCTCTCCGGCACACTTCACTCAGGTGAAGATAACCGGAAGAGGTTTCTCCCGGGGCTCGATCCAAGAACAGCGCAATGGCTAGCCACTCTGCGACTATCTTTGAGCATGAAGGAGGAGATGATGACTACCTCCTCCACGGAAATGAATCTTTCGCGACTAATCATCGTCATCTCAATGAATTACACCGTCTTTCAGCTTTCCAGCAGGTGACCACCAAAGTACCTCCATCTTATGATGGTAGAAGCAGTTGGTTTGCCTATGAAGATGCGATCGATGACTGGTGTGACATTACTGAGCTAGACAATGATAAGCGTGGACCAGCTTTGAGAAATCGGCTAGAAGGTGAAGCAGCAATCCACAAGAGACTTCTCGACAGAGATCGCCTGAAGGACCCGAACAACGGAGTGAAGTACTTCAAGAGTTTCCTGCGGCCGCTTTTCGTGAAGGGAGCAGCGAATGTTTTTCTCTATCGCTTCCAGCAGTTCATGAACATGCACCGTGGGAACGGAGACATGCTTCGTTGGATTACCAGGTTTCAACTCTCTGTTCAGAGAATGCAAGAAGCGTGGAACGATACCTATCTGCCGATCGAGGACCCGAACAATGCAGAGGTCAGAGCTTTCATAGTAGGACTTCCTCCAGAAGAACAAGAAAACCTTACGCCAGCTCAGGCAATGGAGAGAGCCAACGAACGGCTCAGAGAGCAGCATGCTCGGACCATTCCGATCACGCCCAACCTGGTCGCTTTGATCTTTGTGTCCCTGTCTGATCTGACACAGGATCAGCGTCAGGTGTTGACATCACTGATGGCGCATCGGAACCGAGTCCTGGCTGACTACAACACGGCCGAGCTTCGCGAAGTCTACCTGGAGATCTTCTGTACGACCAAGACTACCGTCGACAATCCACTCCTCGCTCCTTCCGGCCACGGTGGCCGCAAGACTTTCCTTGTGATCGATGAAGGATATTTGAACGATCATGAAGGCTACTGGGTTGAGGACGAGGAAGATGGCACCGAAGGTTTCCTCGAAGCGGATGAGGACGCCTTCTGGGTCTACGACGACGAGAACTATTCATGGTTCCAGCGGCGCTTCCAAGGCCGCAAGATGAGGCGCGGATTCAAGGGCCACCGTAAAGGCAAAGGGAAAGGTGGCAAAGGATCCAAAGGAAGGCGCTTCTTCAAAAGGAAGAAAGGCAGGTCACATCTTGCCGAAGAATCAGAAGCATGGCAAGCAGAAGGACAATGGCAAGATTACCAGTGGAGCGATCAGTCCTGGGATGACTGGTCCTGGTACGAGTCTGAGGAATCCTATGCAGCCAAAGGAAAAGGAAAGAAAGGAAAGAAGGGCAAAGGAAAGAGCAAGTTTGGCAAGGATGGAAAAGATGGAAAGTCCGGAAAAGACGGACAGAGCCAGCTTGCTGATGCTGCCCCGAGCGGCACCACAGCCGCCACAACCTTCTTCGTTGAACATCTCAACACTCCGAACTTTTCTTTCATGGCCACCGAAGAGAAGATCAATGAGATCGAGGAAGCCTTCATCTCTCAGCCCTTGACGCCGACCGCGATGGTGTTGGACCTGGGATGCACGAGAGCAATGGCTTCGAGAGTGGCCGCACAGGACCTCATGGAGTTCTGTGACAAGAACCAGAACTGTGGCATATGGTACACCATTGCTGAGACCACTTCTCAGTTCACCTTTGCCAATTCCGAGTCTACCAAATGCAACCAGAAGTTGGTCATTTGCATGTACGACCGGGACTTTGCAGTTCAATCCACAGAGTTCGACATTGTGGAACAAGGGCATGTTCCCATTCTCATGTCCTTACCTCAGATGCGCAATCTTCGTTTCCAGTTCGAGCTCCATCCGGAAAAGGCCTTACTCAGCAGCCCTGTGCTGGGAATCAAGGATGTGAGGCTGAAGGTTGCACCCAGCTCACACTTGGTACTTGATCTTCTTGAACTCAGTCAGCTGATGTGGAATGTGCGTTTCAGCAAGCATAAGAAGTCGAGCTTCCTCACCTACTTCTCCCACTACGAGTATGGCTTCCATCAGAAGACCGAGGGATGCTGTTCTCATGAACAGGTACCCGACAATCTCGTGTTGGCGACTGATGATGAATGGGTGATCAACGAAGCCGACATGGAAATGATTCGCATCCACAAGAAGATGAGAAGAGTCAAGTACGAACCCAAGGCGGGTTATGTGCCAATTCCGTTGGAGTATCTGGACACCAAGCGCAAGACGATCATGGAGTTCTCCAAGGGAAAGAGCGTTACTCAAGAAGATGACTGGCGTTCTTCTGAGCTTTCTTCAACAAGAACTACTGACTCTTGGAAAGGCAAGACCATTTTCAAGATTCTGCCTGGTGGCATCGAGAGTAGAACCTCGGTGCCAGCCAAGTCCAAGGATCCAACCCGTGGAAAGGTAGGATCTCCAGAGGACATGGTTAGCGCAGGTAAGCCTGAAGACAGCTCGAAGAACACAGGAGCATCCGGAAGCTTTCCTCAGGGAAAGGCACCGGCAAAGAGAAGGATTCGAGCCAAGGGAAGCTTTCCACAGGGAAAGGCACCCGAGGAACCGGCTCCTCCTCCTCTTGCTCCTGAGGATGATCCGGATCTTCAAGAGTACGAACCTTCCGAACCGGGGGATGCAGATTTGCTTCCTCCGAGTCCTCCGAAGGCCCCAGAGCCACAGTCGCTAGAACCTAGGAGGATCGCGCTTCCGTTGCCAGGCCACGAGGTCTCAAGGGCTTCTCCGCAGTATCAGCGCATGTTGGAAAAGCTGAACAATGATGTTGAGCTTTACAAGTTGCATGTGAAGCATTACCACATGAGTCCTGCTCAGTTTCGACGCAGGACCAGCATGCTTGGTCTGCCAGGAGAGATCTATGACAAGTACGACCGCATTGTCAAAGGCTGTCGTGTTTGCAGCACCTCGGTGCCTACGCCTCCGCGAGCCAGAATCGCAGGGTTAAGAGCATCATCCTTCGGTGATCTCATTTTTGTTGATCATGAAGAAATCAAGTTCGGTACTAAAGCCTACTTGGCTTTGGTCATCATTGATGGTGCTTCAAATCTTCTGTGGGCTACGGCTCTTACAAGCCTGGAAGCGCCAGAGACTCTGGGAGCTTTTAGACAATGGACAGAGGAGAACAACTGCGTTCCTAAGGGAATCGTAGGAGATCAAGCATTTTTCACGCCGCAGTTCATGTCTTACTACAAGTTCCATGGCATTACTCCGTATCCATGTGGACCACGGACTCCTTGGCCTAATCGAGCTGAGACCGCAGTGCGTCTTTTCAAGCGCACCTGGGCAATCATGGCCAAGGCCTTAGCTGATGAGGGTTATGCAGAGAAGGTGACTGTTCGTCAAGCAGTCAAGAAGGTGGCTTGGGCAAGAAATTGCCAGCTTACCGTCTCAGGCTATTCTCCTTTGGAGATAGCTACAGGAAGACGGCCACCAGACTTGTTTGATGTCGAGAACAGTTCTCCTGAACAGCTCTCTGCTGAACCTGCCGAGGAGGATCGAACCACTCTGGAACTCCAGAGGATTGCCATGCGGGCTCATCAAGAGGCCAGACAATCACTTGACCTTCGGAAGGACCTTGCACGGAGAGTCATGCCGTCTGATGGTCCTTACTCGAAGGGTGACCGCGTGTTTGTTTGGCATAAGGATGAGTCGAAG